GATGTTCAGGTGACTGCCACGCGTACCGATGAAACTGCAACCGTCTTAGAAGGAGGAAACTTCTGCACCAAGAATTTCTTAAAAGTGGTCCACTCTTTCCCGAGAGGTTGAACATAACTGCTTGAGATATCTGATTTAGAAGCATATGGAGCATCCTCTGAGTTTTTGGAAGGCACAACTATGCTGCCACGTGATGCTCGTAAAGGATCAAAAGTGTCATCCTTCTCTTCATCTTTGACATCAACCTAAAGCACAAATTATTGCGCAAGCAATTGGTAAGCAGACAGAGAAAATAAAATTAAAATGAACATCAATTGATCAATAGGCGGCATTTCACATAAATTATAAAGGCTAATTAACAATTGTTTTTCTATGCACCAATCGCACCCTGAATCACAAAAATAGTGAGTGCAAAATATCTCAGTTTCGTTCTAATTTTTTTATTTTTCTTTTCGAAGAGAAACTGTTTGACTCCACTAGGTGTAATCAGTGTAGAGATCTGATCCTTCTAAATTATGCTTAGATCATTCATTTCAATGCATTGTCTAATTTGTCTTGAAAAAAGAATATCCTTATTTTGTGCATCTGAGTATGATCCTCCAAATTAATGTTGTTTTTCACTATACTTGCATGTCATTTGATCATATTTACATAATATTTTATTCTGAGTCGTATGTTAACTACGAGTATATGTGTTTTGTTATGAACTATGATGCGCATCACACTCCCGAGTGCACATAATAATTTGCTTTCTTCACATAATATCCAAATTATCGTTACCTTCATCTCATGCATAAGTATAAATTCATTCCGTGTACAGAAAATTAATCCAAAAATACCTTAATGCTCGAAACAAAGGTTTGAAAATAATCACTGTTGAGTTATCTACATCAAAAATGATCAAATTACCTAATTAGCATGATCAAACCCTAAGAAATCAAAACTAGAAACAAAGCCATTAATTCAAAGTGCAAAAAATACACACTGATTTCCACATTACATTCCTCTTAATCATTCACATCGAATTACTCTAGAGAAATCAACGAATTTTAAACTAGTGATGAACAAGTCAACAAATTTCTAATGCAATTTGTCGAGTCCTCAAATTAATTGAATTTTTCTGCGAATAACATAGCTAATTTTAATCGAAATAAACATGAACAGAAAGTTGAGAACGGAAACCTGAGGAGAGAGAGAACGAGTAGAGGAGAGAGGATGAAGATCGGCCGGAATACGAGGGAGAGAATGTGCCTTTGCTTCTGCGGCGTAGTCTCGAGCTCGAAATTTGACGACCATTTTCGCTGGTTCAATGCTTTCAGTATCCGCCATTACTCCTGGAGTCCCGGCATCAAAACAAGAGAGCTAGACATAGGTCATGTTGTGCAAGCCCATGTACTATGTTGTGGGATTCTTGCTTAGTGGAGTTGATGACATTGAGGTTACGAGTTCGGATCCCGCCAAAGGTCCTAGAAAAATGTACTATGTTGTAGGTTGTGAGTCTAATACGGATCAAGAAATTCGAATCGTATCAGGCTCGTGCTAATCTTTCATCGATAAATCGTATGCACAACCTAACCTACGTGTTGGGTCATGTGCATAATAATGAAAATTGATGCATAAACATGGTAACAAGGATCATAACGATAAACATTTGTGTAAGATCTCTTTATCGTTATAAGACCGCTTTTACGAGTCATTACAAGCATGTATCCTAGTTTCTCTCTACCCTTTTCCCAATCCATCTACAAGGTGGTCTTATTTTGGTAAGATAATTTTTATTAAAAAAGGTGATCGCTGGTTGTCTCACGCTTCTGCAGGCGTGGATCTACGAGTACTTTCCGTGCTTCCAGCCTCAACAGGGTACCTTGACGAGGGAGCTTAGTATTCCTCGTGCGTGTGCTTGGGATGTGGGATCGGGATGCCCGAACAAGAGCATGGAGCGCCTCCTCGCTTTTCGTGCTCGATTGGATCAGCTGACCGATAATGAGGTTAACTGGCTACTGTACGGAGTTGATCCCGCTCGACGCGTGCCAGCCACTCTATTCATTGGCTGCATCCAGTACCAGAGCATCATTGAGCCATACATGCCTGATCGAGTGGTCCGACAGCTTGGATTCGTGCAGGAGACTCCGCGGACCATTATCAGGCCTGAGAAGGCCAAGATACCGACGAACCTGAAGATGTATCGGGTTGACTTTCCGACCGAGATGACACCTGTGATGTGGACTCGATTTGTCCCTGGCTCGTCTTTCAATATTGTTTTAGGTGCCCTCACCAGACTCGGTGGTGGAGGTGCTACGGTCGCTCCTGGTTCTCATCCTCGTCTTTCTCCTGGTGGGTCATCAGATGGGAGTAGCAGACTTCCCGAGAGGACTAACACGGACTACGTGAGTAGTTGTCTTTTATTATACTATAAAAACAACTTAAGCAAATTATAATTTCTGTAACTAATATGTTGTTTTGTTACTTGCAGTGGATGGGTCGGTCCTTGGAGATTCACCGGAGATCACTGGATGAGTATCCCAGCATGACGCGTGAAACAAGGGCAATGACTGAGCAGCTGATAGCTGACTGTAAAATGCCTACATCATCAGACATGACCCAGTACAGATACTGACTCTGCCTCGCCAAATGTAGAAATTGCTGAACTACTCCTCTTCCATTAGACATCTCCGTTCTCAAGTCATTCCGGCAGTTGTAGATGTGTCTGATGTTTGGATGATCATCAGGAAATTGCTCGGCAATAGTCGCCATGATGTTACGTGGTGCCACCTTAGACTTCGTCATGTCACGCACAACCTTCTTCGCATCCGGGCTCAACCCACTAATTTTCCGATGCCCCTCCTGATACATAACCATTGGATGGTTATGGGTCCCAGTTGCATCATTTTTTCCCTGAATCTTCCAACTGTCGGTGACGAACTCGTAATAATATATCTTGATGTAGAAAGGACAACCATTGGCTTTGGTTTTACTGTCCTTCCGAATTGCGTTCTCAAGATCTCTCGGCTCAAAGACCTCGGGAATAATATTAAAGTGCTCGGTATACTATGTGAGAAAGTGGTGGAGCCTTATATAGGTCAAATTAACACAAGGGCAAAAAGGTAATTTCATATATAAATGGGAGCGTCGAAAGTTTAGAAAAAAAACATGTAGAGAATAGACTGACTTTATGTACGATTATAAATTGTTGACATGATTGCTGACATTGATGATGCCATGATGATGTCATGGTGATGTCACGTTGACATCATGAATGTCATTGTACAAAAAAGCAAATGTGCTTTGTAATATACTTCTATTTCTTCCAATAAGTGTTGCAATTTTAAGTTAACAAAAGGGATCCATATCTATGTTAATATTGAAAGTTGACTACAAAAACAGTGTTAATGTAATTAGCTACACTGTTTGTCGCCCATTAGTCTTATTGCTTAATGTTGTTTTCTAGGCCAGCCTTTGAGTTAGTTGTTACATGAGATAATTAAATTAATGTTATGTTGAGATTGTTGACAACAGAAATAATGCTTCTCATGAGGCTTAGCTTGCAATAGCTTGCATATTAGATTTCTGCTGCCTTTAATTTACTTTTTGAGCTAGCCATTTTGACCATATGAATACAGTGAAAAGGCATGGAGTTGACTTCAAGCTGATGTTTCCTTTAACAAGAAGTTGTACATACATACACCACTTTCTGTAATAATTATGAACTCAAAAGTCAACCCTTTATTTGTTCATAGATTGATGAAGAAATAAAAATCTATTCATATATGTGGACATGGAAACCAAGCTATTGACCTAAGAGTAGTGTTAGCTTCCAATGAAAGAAATGATTCCTAATGTTTTAATCAATAACTATATACTAAAAGAGACACCAGCAATGACATGTGTCGATTTCTGGTGTGTTCTTAGTATACTTTTTTTAATAATTAATTACTAATTTTATTTAAGGAAGTTATATTTATAAAAAAGTTTGTTTTTGTTAACTATATAAATGAAAAATAATATTTACCATTTTTACATAGATACTCAATTAATTACGAAATAATAAGGAAATATATAATCTTTTTCAAGAAGATGTATTTTGGTGGAATATTTTTTAAGAATATGATTTTGATCAAATATTTCATATTACTTCAAATTTGTTTAATATTAAAGATATTAAACCAATTTTTATATTTTATGCTATAAATAAATTAATTTGTCAAAAGTAATTAAATAACGTACCGTACATGGTGCGGGACCTAACCTAGTTTATTACTGTATTACACTTATGCAAATAAACCATTAACATGAAAGGCAAGCATTGTACAAGTTAAGGATTTATTTATTAGGATGTCCTGAAAATTAGTTAATAAGCTAATACATACATCAGATAAGGCTTAGTATAATTGGGGTTGGGGATTTAATTAACTTGTATATAACCTTGAGTTCATAAGATTGAATCCTCACCATTTTCCCTTCCATGTGTTTGACTTGCAGATACAGTATAGATCAAAATAATATGAGGATTGAAGGTTTAGCTAGAGTCCTTAGCTTTAAACCATTAAAGAAAAAAGCTATTACATATGGAGTATTTAAAATGCTATATTATATATGTAGTTGTAATTGATCGATTTGATAATTGTCTTTATATATTAAGATAGATTGCCATTTCCTTTTGATAAATCTACAACTAATGGATTTTGGTATAGGTTAACAGTTTGGATTATTCTTATACACGTATGTACATCCTGTGCTAAATACAGTACACATTAACATTATAGTACGTAATTTTATTTTTTTATAATTGATGTTCTAAGGGAATATATATGATCTTCAAGAATCTACTTCTTCAAGAATCTCTTTTACAATCTCTTGGTACTAACAAGTTATTCCACTGTAAACGTTGAGTATACTAGTACAATGAGCTGAGCCTCATGCTTCGTATTAGGGAGCTTGTTATTCAAGTAATTAATTCAACATGCATGCAACTTACTTCCCTACAATTCAAGATACACACAAACTTCCATTATTAGTCATCTCTCAAAAGAAACCCCTAGTATTATATATTCAAACACACTTCATGCATGCATTGTCTCCAAATAAAGTAACCCCCTCACCGTCCTTATCCTTTTTTTTTTAGAAGTTTAACTCCTACAATTTTGGAGTCAATTAACTAACTTCTTTCCTTTATATTCCCTTATAAATACCTTCATTTCCTCTTACATCTTAAACCAACTTACTACAACATAACATCAAAACATCTATCTTTCCCTACCCTTACTCACCTCATCTCTTCCGCCTTCATCTCCTCGAATTATTCTCAATAACTTACAAGAAGATAATATCAAATGTCGTCGAGGATGATGAAGACGGTAGTGAAGGCATTCGCCTTGATAGCTATCACTATGCTAATAGTCACAATCGCCTTCAATTCCATCAGTATCAAATATGAACAACAAGACCACCCTAACGGAGAAAAGGACAACATCGCGTTCCCTTCTAGGAGGGTGAGCCGGTTCTTAGCCGAGAGTGATTACAACCGTCATGGAAGAAGCTTAAAGCCCGCGGATCATTGTCACAAGGACTACGCGGTGTGCGACGCCATGTATGGGAAGAACTTCACGTGTTGTGGAAACAAGTGTTTTGATCTAACCATTAATAAGAATTGTGGAGCTTGCCATAACAAGTGCAAGTTTACTGATGAATGTTGTGACGGAAAGTGCGTAGACAAAACCTATGACAAAAGACATTGTGGGAGGTGTAACAACAAGTGCTTGCCTGGACAATTATGTGTTTATGGGTTGTGTGACTATGCTTGATTTAATTTACTACTTGCTCTTATGCAATTGTATAACATTTTTTTTTGGCTATGATGGAAATTTTTTTCGTATATAATATTTGAGCTAGTATTTATAAGCATTATCTACTACAAAGTATAATGCTACAATTATACTTATATCTTGTAACACCTTTATTACTACAAAATATATACTGTATATAAATTTTGATCAAAATCTGTTCATCGGATCAAACTTTTATTTAGTATAATCTTTCAATTCCTTTTTTTTTTCTTTTTTTTTTTTTCTTTTTTTTTTCTTTTTTTTTTGGTTAAAGAGGTTCAACTAGAATCTTTCAATTCAGTCACTAGCTAAACGTACTCATGATGATTAACAAACTTTCATAGGAGAAATAATCATACTATTAAACGATTAACATAAGTATTATAGGAAACATTGCTGACCTGAGTAACATTGTTAAATCATTTTGAAAAATTCTTATGAATTTATAATATAAACGTAAGTGTGGGAGAGTCCACTTTATAGCTTTAATAATTTTTTTTATGAAAATTTAATATGCGTATACTCCCTTCGTCTTAAAATTTAATACGTACATTCATATTGGATGTCCCATAATGTAGGTAGAGTTTGTTTCCACTTTTTCTAAGTTCATATCGATAAGATAAGATTGAGAAAAATAATTTCAAATAACAATTACCGTACAATGTATATTAAAGATATGTGTCACACAGTGACGGATCCAGAATTTTATGGGTGATGGGTCACCATCACCCATCGACCGCATACCCATCGATTCAAGAGGTGAATTTTAATATGTGGAGGATAATTTTGTGATGGAAGCGGATGATTTTGGGGAGGAGGAGGATGATTTTGTGGAGAAGGATAAATTTTAGACTAAAGAAACTTGTTATTTCACAGTTTTTTTACTTTTCATCCTGAAAACTAAGTCACTATTTCAATAATAGTTATTGATATTAATTAATTGATATTGCTCATATAAGAAATTTAGGTTACCGTTATGGATCAAACTAAATAAATTAAAATATGATTGTGTTAAAAATTAGACATAGTATAGATTAAGGAAAAAAAAAAAGTAACACTAAAAGTTGACTATACAAAAGCAAAGAAAGAAAGATTGATCTAATTAGTCACACGGTTTATTTGTCGCCCATTAGTCTTGCATTGTTGCTTAATGTTGTTTTTCCATGCACCCTTTGAGTTGTTAAAAGGAGATAATTAAATTAATATTGACAACAGAAATGATAATGCCTCTCATTTCACACTTGCATTGTTTCTTGAGGCTTAGCTTGCAATAGCTTGCATATTAGGCTTCTGCTGCCTTTACTTTATCGAGCTATCATGAAAGATGCATGGAGTTAAGCTGATGATGTTTTACACCACTTTATTATTTTATTATGAATCCAAAAGTCAACCCTTTATTTGTCATAGATTAATGAATAATGTATTATTCGTTCATAAGGACATAGAACCAAGCTATTGACCTATGAATAGTGTTAGCTTCCACTAAAAGAAATGAAAACACTAAACAAGTTCAAAGTACAGAGTTTTTCGGTAAGAGTAACGAGTGTGTAGTAGCATCACTAGCATCCTAAACGAGTTTTTACATAACATTCAGTAGAAGTAAGAAGCCAATTACATGTTTTAAAATACTATGTATGTGGCTATTCTTGATTTAACTATACCTAGCTTAGCTAATCAAAAGATTGATTGTAACATCAATTACACAAGGGGGTAAGAGGCCGGTTTGGCAAATCAATAATTTCTACTTGATAAATAAACATTTAATCAATGGATTTTCGAATGGTTGTTTGATTCTTAAAAACATGTACACCCTATATATGTAAGATACTTTATGCATTAATGTAGATATGAATTTGGTAATCTTTTCTGATCCTGCCCTAATATAAGGAAAACGGTGTATGATCAATTGATGTGCAATTAGTTAGAAATTAGAGAATATAATCTGATCTTCAAGAATCTCTTTTGTAATCTCTTGGTACTAAGCAGCCTTGCTCACTTGTAGACGTAGAATGAGCCTCATGCATCGTATTAGGGACCTTATTGTTCAAGTAATTTAAACATGCATGCACCTTAACTTATTACTTCCCTACAATTCAAGATACACACAAACTTCCATTTTTAGTTATCTCTCAAAAAAGCCTCTAGTATTCAAAGATTTCTAACACATCTTCCTTTTCCTTTTTTAGAATAGTTTAACAGCTTTTAATTTAATTTAGAGTCAACTTCGTTCTTTACTTTTTACACCCTTATAAATACATTCAATTCCTCTTACATCTTAAGCCAACTTACAACTCATACCTCACCATATCTATTATTTTCCCATAGCTAGCTCACCTCAGCTGCTCGCTTCCGCCTTCCTCACCTCGGACTCTTCTCAATAAATAAGAGAAGATGTCGTCGAGGATGATGATGAAGGCAGTGAAGGCATTCGCCTTGATAGCTATCACCATGGTAATGGCCACCATCGCTTTTAATTCCATCAGTATCAAATATGATCACCAAGATTACCACCCTAACCCTAATGAAGAAGAGGAGAACATTTCTCAACTACTTCCTTCTAAGAGGGTTAGCCGGTTCCTAGCCGAGAGTGACTACAACCACCATGGAAGAAGCTTAAAGCCCGCGGATCATTGCCACAAGGACTACGAGGTTTGTGACATCAAGTATGGGATGAACTTCACTTGTTGTGGAAACAAGTGTTTCGATCTCACCATTGATCAGAAGAACTGTGGAGGTTGCCATAGCAAGTGCAAGTTTACTAATGAATGTTGTGACGGAAAGTGCGTAGACAAAACCTATGACAAGAGACATTGTGGCAAATGTAACCAAAAGTGTTTGGCCGGACAATTATGTGTTTATGGGTTGTGTGACTACGCTTGATTTACTACTAGCTTGCTCTTACGAAATTGTACGTATATCATTTGAGCTAGTATGTATAAGCATTATGTAACGTGAAATTCTGGTTCTGTGATCTCATGAAAAGGGTCTCCTAATATTCCTTCTAATTATTGTCTTTATTAAAAAAAGTCATTTAAATTTTGATTGGATTGAACTTATTCCAGGCCAATAGTATAAGATCCGAGCTAAAGTAACATTAAATCCTATGAAAAATTACATCTAATGCAAATATTCTTGTTAATTAAGTAACTTATATTAGTCGTATGGTGTGCATAGAGGTGTTAAAATCACACCTGATCCGACCTGATCTAAATCCAACCCGAAAAATATTCAATTCAGATTTCGACTCGCGTGGACATATATATGCACAATGATCTAGCATGACTCAAATTTTGAAAATAGGCTCGACCCCAACCCGATCTCACCGAATCCGATTCGGACACCCGAATTAATACCTCTAGGTGTATGTGTATGTTTGCTTAGAAGAGTTCCCTTATAAACCAAACTAACCAATTTTCCAGTTAAGCTAGCTAGCTAGTCAATTATATATGGTTAGCTAATTAATGATATGATGATTACTAATTAATTCTCATTTCTTTGATTTATTGGACTACTAGTTGACTACTAGTAATCAATCCATCTATCCAAGGGATGAACGGCTAGATAGCTTAGAATGAGACACACACATACATGTCATTTATTTCTGAGTAGCAGAAAACATACAAATACAATAAGTCTGGTTTGTAGCTAGACACATGATATACTGTGACCATATTTATTTATTTTTAAAAATGATCATTCTTTGTTAATATGAGTAAACTCTATAATTCATGGTTTTTACTTTAATTTGCCCATAGAGTAACCCCAGTTCATTATATGAGTAACATCAATTCATTACAAAAATAATTAACTCCTTTTGTTCATTGAGTAACCCACTTTTTTTATTTTAATTTGACTATTGAAAGATTAACTCCACTTGTATATAAGAGTAATCCCATTTTCCCAACCCCTAATTCGCCAAGGTAGTCCCATTTAATCATTGTTGCAACTCCCATTACTTAAATTATTGCTTATATGTGAAGTGACCTGGTCACACTATGTAGTTCCGGAGTGTAAGAATTTTTGTTAACCTATGCCATGCATGCATGTTCAATTCACCCAAACTTATTATGGGTTTGATTGGCCGGAATCAGTCACAACTTATTTCAAATTATGGCAACAAATTTATGGAATAGAAATAACGTTTTGTAGATTACTTAATTATGATAGCTGAATTTACTTAATTGAGGTCCTGTTTGTATTATATCTTATTTAACTTATTTCGGACATGATATACATTAAGACGCGCATTTTCCACAATTATATTGTATATCATGCATACTTACCCACACCCAATTTTAACTATTACCTTTTCACTTGCATAAAATCTTGTACAAGACTATCGTCTATATGACTATGATCGTGTTGAGATCATAGAATCCTCATTCGTCAACTAGCAGTTCAGGTATGTAAGAGATCATTAGAAATCTTTATTTCATGGATCTTGTATCTTTAGCTAGGGGTGTACACCGGTCCAAAACCGGACCGGACCTGGACCGGACCTGTTTGGACCGGGGACCTGAATTGGGTAATTATGAGGACCGGGGACCGGACCTGAATTAACAGGTCCGGTTCCGGGTCAGACCTGAAAAATCAGGTCCGGTCCGGGTTTGGACCTGAATGGACCTGTTTTGTGTCTTTTTCGTTTTTTTTTTTTAATACAAAACCTGTTGGACCTGCATATGGACCTGTTTTGTGATTTTTAGACCTGTTGCATAATTTAATAATTACATACAAACCAAAATTATCAATTACAAAACTACATAAAGTCTATAAAGTCCCGATTCTCAAACACCAAAAATACAAATGAGTCCACCGAAAATACAAATAAGTCCACGAAAAGTCATAAAATTACATAAATTCTCTTAAGTCTCAACTCTCAACTCTCAAGTACTAGGAATACATAAATTCTCCAACGAGTTGTTTTCCCTTTGATCGCGTGATTCACACTAATGAGTCCACGAAAACAACTTCATCGTCTACATCGTTAGATTCACCACGTTGCACCTCTAAATAAAATACAATATAGAATATATTAATGATTGATAACAATGAAATAATAAATTTGGTGTAACAAAATTTCAAATACATAAAATTATTACTACCTTTCTCTATTTCCTCTAACTCTTTCAAATTTTCTTCCACATCAACAATTGGCACTTCCTTAGCTCTAAGCCAATCTTGTGTGCAAAGTAACGCTTGAACCATCTTCAATACAAAAATATTACACAAATATGTATAAACAAAGTCATATTAAGATATAAACAAACTTGATTTTATAAAATAAAAAGATAACGATGCATTACCTTAGGAGTCAAAGAACTCCGAAATGGATCTAGAGTACGACCTCCCGTACTAAAAGCAGATTCCGATGCAACGGTCGACAATGGGATGGCTAGTATGTCACGTGCCATGCGATTAAGAATCACATAACGCTGACCATTCTTACCCCACCATGTCAATGCATCTTGTTCTTCCTCCTCCGGCCCTAATTGATCATTTAAGTACCTATCCAACTCACTTATCGCATACCCACTTGTCCCCTTCAATCGTTTTGCTCTTTCTTTTAGTTTCCTCACATAATCGGAACCCACTCCTTTACTATTATCAATATCCATTGACATATTATCTCCACAATCTGGAATATTAGAAGTAGCATACATTTTTCTATATTCCTCAAATAAAGAGTAAGCGAACTCCTTCACATCATTAGCAAGTTTTGTACCCTTTTCCGGTCCATGCATATCCGTTAGTGTCAATTCAACAATGACCATCTTAGAGTGAGGGTCGAGAAGAAGAGCAACATAAATGAACTTATTCATCTTATCCACATCCCCCCAATACTTATCAAACTTTTTTTTCATTGCAATGGCCATGGCTTGAAAATTCAAGTCCTCACTTTGTTCCCAATTATTCAACATATCATACATAGAAGCAATTTCTCCTAAACCTTTATTAGCTGTCACATAATGGGAACCAGAAATTCGTTTAGTTAACAGATAAAACCCCCCTAGAAACAAAACCAACCTCTCCACTTTTTCCCAATCTTCGGGTTCGGGAGGCCTTTCATTGTCATTCAAATCCTCTCCATCAGGAAGAGATAACCCACTAAAAACACGTCGAAACTTCAAAGCCGTTTCCAACATTATGTATGTGGAGTTCCAACGAGTGGGGACATCAAAGGATAAAGAAGATTTTGAATCTATGTTTGCTTTTTGCACAAGATCTTTGAATCTAAGTATTCTTGCAGGGGAATTCTTAACATATTTCACAGCATTTCTAACTCTATCAATGCACACACCATGTTCTCTAATACCATCCCACACAATTAAATTAATGATATGAGCAATGCATCTAACATGAAGATTTTTTCCATCATTTATACATCCTGTTCTTCTAACCATTCTACTCAAGTGTGCACAAGCAACATCATTTGAAGAAGCATTATCAACAGTGACAGTAAAAAGTTTATCATCAATACCCCAATACTCTAAACATGCCTCAACTGCTTTTCCAATAGCCTCTCCTTTATGACTAGAAATTGGACAAAAATTTATGATCTTTTTATTCAATTTCCAGTCATTATCAATGAAATGAGCTGTAAGACACATATAATTAATTCTTTGTATTGAAGTCCAAGTATCAGTGGTCACAGAAATTCTTTGACATGTCTTAAACATTTCTCTCAATTTCTCTTTTTCACTATAATACAACTTTAAACAATCACGAGCAATGGTAACACGAGATGGAATGTGAAATTGTGGACATGCAACTTGCACAAAGTGCCTAAAACCGGGTTTTTCCACATGCTTAAATGGTAACTCATCAACAATAATCATGTGAATCAATGCCTCTCTAACATCATTCAAGTTAATAATCCTACTCCCACACTTTAATTCACTACTCTCATGTTCTTGATCAAAATACAATTTAGTTTGCTTTTCTTTGCCCTTTTCTTTTTCTATATTAATAGGATTACCGAGACATGATTCTGCATGGTTTTTAACATTTTTTGAACCATTAAGATTACCACCAACAGCAAAAGTTTTAGGACAGAACTTACATTCAGCTCGTAGTTTTCCATTCTCGACGTACTCTAAGTAATATTTCCAATACTCAGCTTTCCTCTTACTTTTTCTGTTCCATATATATTCCCGCCCCGCTTTTAGCTTCTTATCAGGAGGCAAAGTAGATTGCAATTCTTCCATATCCTTTTCAGAAAGTGGCTGTGACGTTTGTTCAGAAAAAGAAGCAGACCGTTTGGATTGAGAGCTCTCCATCTACAATATAATTATATACAATATAAGTAATTTTAAAGTAACAATTATATACACATACCATTTTATAAAAAAAATTTAAGAGCAACTTACATTGCAAGAATAAGAATCCGTGGTTCCTTGACTTCCTTCACTCCCTGCAAGAATAAAAACAAAAATAACAAACAACTGCAAACAAAAAACTTGTAGGATATTGTTGATAACAAACAACTGCAAACAACCTTTGGTAGCGGCACTTAGAACTTAAGAGGAACACCCCCATTTGCACAAGAATGTCAAAAGAATTCAGAAATCATAAAATGTACCTATCAGATGGATAACATCCACATACAAAATAACAAAGTACCAAATAGAATATAATGTACTAGTTATGATTATGCCATTTAAGCATTAGAGTATTACTTATATCCTAATCTGTATTAAAATTGTCAATTACTGAAAAACAAAACATGAGGTATATGACAGTCATCAAGATGTCCTGATTCAACTCAAAACTTTTGCAATGAAGAAGTTTACTAGCCTAGTGCCATGAATACCACCAGCAACAAAAGCTGCTTTTGCATGTTGAAGCATTCTCCCAAGTTCAAGATCTCCGATTTAACCTTCCCAGGGTTTCCATTCACAAAAATATCATCACACTTGAAATCTCAATAATGACGGAAGGATTCTGACAGTGAAGACTACAATTAAATAAACAACACACTACAGAAAGATCATAACAATATCCTAGTATCAGCAATTAGTTTGACATCCAAGGTCCAAGATCAACAATACTAAAAAAACTTCATGATTTCAAATTCTAAATTACCACCCTCGTATTCTCTTTCATCTGTCCAGCTCCTATATTTCACTACTTTTACCCTTCTATCATACTCCTTCAGCTCTCAAAATCAAATCACAGACAATAAATTCAATGTAATATCTTGCTCTATTCCCTGTTCTATTAAAATATCATCTCGTGTTCACTGCAAAGTTAAGTCATTGATGTTAAGTTCATTGTAAAAACATAATAATTTCTACCTTTCTCTCAATTTCTAATTTTGAAATCAAAATAATTGCATTTTCTCTAATTTCAAAGTCCAACCAAAAGGAGTCTAAGAAATTCAGGTACTTGACAAAAATAAACAATGCAATCATGATGAAAAACTAATTGTCCTCTGCTACAAATCTACAATCCCATTACCAAAACATAAAAATAAATAAATTCGAAGAAATTCGAAAATAAACCAAAAACCCTAAACTTTAAACTAAAAAAAACCAAAAAAAAAACATAAATTCGAAAGAAATTCGAAAATAAACCAAAAAAGAAAAAACATAAATTCGAAACCATTGAAGTAAAAAAAAGAAATTCAACATGCAAACATCAAATAATCATTATAAGCAATTGAAACATGAATAAACATATAAATTCTAACACTTAATTCATTATTTCGAATACAAAATACCCAAACATAATTAGATAATTTAGATTTACATTAAAAAAAAAAAAATAACTTACCGGAGAAATCGAAAATCGCGCAGTAGCTGTCTCATGCGGTGGTCGGTGGGCGCCTGGGCTTCGCCTGAGAGAGTGAGGAAGGCAGGAGGTGTCGGCGGTGGGCTGAGACTTGCGTGACTGCGTGAGGGAGAGGGGGAGACAGCCTGTTGTTTGTTAGGGTTAGAATGAAATGAAAGAGAATTCAAGCGTCACTCAAGGCCTCAAGCTGTCAAGCATTATTTTAATTTTTTTTTTTTTTTTTTTTTTTTTTTTTTTTAAAAAAAATACAATTTTTCCGGGTTTCAGGTCCGGACCTGAAAACCCCGGGTTTAGACACAAACTTTCAACTATAGTCATCTCGCCCCACGTTAACAAAAGTACCCTAATGATTCGAACACACTCCATGCATGCATCACCCCAAATTAACGTAACTCTTTAATTTTAAAATAAACCTACAAAATTATTTAATTTAAGTCAAAGTACTCTACACTTTATTTTCTTATAAATACCTTCAACCACCTTAACACAACTAACTAAACTAAAACTAACCATCTTTTCCTTGTTCTCCATACTCTCTTCCTCTCTAATCATTTGTGATCCTTCACAACATCAATCAAAAATATGTCATCGACAACAATGAAGACGACAATAAAGGCAATTGTTGTGGTAGCGATCACAATGACTATGGCCCTTATTGCTCTAAGTTCCTTTAATAACAATTATTCGCAACAAGAGCACCACGTCGATGAAGAACAAGACAACAACAACAACGCGGGGTTTCTCCCTTCTAAGAGGGTTAGCCGGTTCCTAGTCGAAAGTGACTACAACCGTCATGGAAGAAGCTTAAAGCCAGCGGATCATTGCCACAAGGACTACGAGGTTTGCGACGTTATGTATGGTAAGAACTTCACATGTTGTGGAAACAAGTGTTTTGATCTCACCATTGATCAGAAAAATTGTGGGGCTTGCCATAACAAGTGCAAGTTCACTCACGAATGCTGCGACGGAAAGTGCGTAGACAAAACCTATGACAAGAGACATTGTGGGAGGTGTAACAACAAGTGTTTGGCTGGTCAATTATGTGTTTATGGGTTGTGTGATTATGCTTAATTAATCATATTATACATATGTTAGTTCATTATTCATACGTATTTAATTATTTTGTAAGACGGATATTTTGATCATCCGTGAGCTAGTACATAAATTGTGATGAAAATTTGTTACTTCTATATATATGAAATTCTTTTGGCAATAATTAAGCCAATTTGAGATTTAAGAATGAGTTAAAATCTATTATTGAAAATCGCCAACTGTCTATTTTCGTAAAATAATACAATTTTTTAAAAGTTTACTTGTTGCATATGGTGAATTGGTGATTCACATACATGTCCCTCTAAAGTTTGGTCTAACTTTCTTATTTTGATCGTCTCATTGACTTTGCCCCCATAATCTTATTAGAGGAGAAAGAATAAAATAGATAAAAGCTAGAAAACGGGCAAGTTAAAAAAAGTGAAAATAATCATTTTATATAGAGTACCGAATGATTCATTTATGATATTAATTATTAAGTAGTTATCTAGATAATGACTTGATAGTTTATACAAATTCGTACGTAGTAATACCCAATGTTGTGTAGATGTTTTTTTTTTGGTGAAAATGTTGTGTAGATGTTGAGAAGACTATAATTGAAGATTATTATAAGAGATTCATTAATCAGTAAAGGAGTACATCATATAGGATGAAATATACGTCTATGAAGGCATCATAACCCTAACACCTCGCAAAATCCTAAATAATTTCCCTAGAATTGCTCAAAATTAATAAAAGGGTTTTTTTTTGTCAGAAAATACCTACTAAAACCTAAATTTTGTGAGAAACTACCTAATAAAAAAAAATGTTGTAAGAAACTACCTAATAAAAGGTAAAGTGTTATAAGATAATACGTACCTTTATTTGGCTGAATTTCTACCGTTGACCTAATTTTATAGCGTTGACCCACCTCAAAACACCCTCGAAACCACCACAGGTGTTGGTTTTCAAGGTGGTAAGGTTATTTTTGGGATTTTGTTGGAGGTTTTCCGAGTTGGTGATGATAGCTTCGTCATTCGGGATGTTGGTTTTTGGGGTTCACTAGTAGAAAACAGGAAGTTAGCACCGGTATAAAACCGTCTTTTCGCATCGGTTTTGAACCGGTTTAGATTTGGGGGGTGCGAATAATCTCGCACCGGTTCAAAACCGGTAGTAATAAAACTTATTCGCATCGGTTAATAATGCCTTTAAAAAAAAAAAAAAGGTTATTCGCATTGGTTTGAACAGGTGCGAATAATGCCTAAAAAAATTAAAAATAATAATTTTTTTTTTGTAGTTTTTCATTTAAATTGACATATAATCACTAACATATATATAAACTAATAATTTTCATTGATACAAAGCTGTAATATTACAATTTTAATTCAAAAAAAAAAAAACAAATTTTAATTCAAACCAGTATGGAGTACTATATGTCCATATCATATCACTAATGAATAAAGTTGGTCTCGCAGCCAGGACACGGCACAACGACGCTTGGCATTCTAGTTTTTCGCCATGTGTCGTGCCATGTAAAAGATAAATAGGTATTATTGTGACACATATGATGCTACGTAAGCGATTATTGGATAAATTTTCTAAGATAAAATTGTTGTATAGAGTTTTATTAGCGATAAAATTCTAATATTTCATATACTACGTATACAAAATTAATCATAACTTTTAATAATAAATATCCTATAACTCAATTCTATTTCCATCATCATATTCGTTTTAAAAATTTCTTTAAAATAAGATCCATTTATAATATATTTAATCACACTTTTATACGTAGCTGGCCAAACCGGGTCACCAGGCCAACTATTACAAAAGTTACTTCATTAGTGCTACAGGGGTTACTTGATCAGTGTTATAGTGGTTACTTGATCAGTGCTATAGTGGTTACTCAATTAGTGTCATGAATAGAGGTTACTTAGTCAGCGTTAGAGGTTACTTAGTTAGTGTTAGTATCACAGGGATTACTCGGTCAGTTTTATAGGGGTTACTTTGTACGGCTAGATGGTGTGGCTAGCCGCATATAAAATGCATTGTTATATAATTTATTTAAAAAAAATTAGAAAATCAGTAAAAATGAGTTTAATCAGTCTAAATAATTTTAGTTTGGTAAAAATATTTGTAGTTAAGTGAAAATAATTTAAGTTCAATAAAAATAATATCAAGTCAATAATAACATAGATTTCTATTTACAAACAAAACTACAAAAAGTACACTCCATATGATATCGCATGTCTAAATATCCTACATTATCAGAACAAATTATTTAACCGTATTTAACATTCAAATAAAAATGTTATCTTAAAATTTTATCAACCATCTGGACATCGCCCCGGACACAAAACTAGTTCATTTTAAACCCAAGCAAGATTAACTAGTTGTTAATATTACAAAGTATATCAATATTGATAAAAATTATCAAATACATACTATCTCTATTTGTGTTTACTTTATGGAAACCATTTTTTTTGTAATAAATGGTGTAAAGATGCAAAAAACGATGGAGTACGAATTTTTCCAATATAATAACACTATTGTACGTGGCACTATTCTATTGCTGTTTGCATCATTAATTTAACATTTACTTGCGTTACATAATACGCATAACATAAACTAAGGAACCGAGTAATTTTACAATGCGTAATTCCAAAGTTTTGAGTTTAATTTATAGGCTAATTAATGATTAGCTTATTTCTTAACTAATTTTTCTGATGATTTGCTCACTTCACAAAAAAACGTTTTTGCGCTTTGCTTCATTTTATGGATTGACCAATTATATTCTTTGGTGGTCGGTACTCCATGAATGAGCAACCCTTTCTTTTTTGTGGTACAAGCATGATATTTTAAATATGCTTAAGGGTCAAAATCTAATACTCCACATTTGTATTTTCTTTTTATTGGATTACATTTCATGCAGTAAAAACATTTTCTGAATTGTTATTAATTTAAAAATACTTCGTACATAATTATGTAAAATCACGCAGCAATGTTTATTATTAATGTTTGCTTTATGGTTAATATATACTGAGTATATTTTTATTTCCTTAGTGTATGCATTCTTTAGGACTTATGGTTGCATATAGTACTGTCAAAAACCGAACCGAACCGGGGAAACCGGACCGATTCAAACCGATTCGAATGAGAACCGAACCGTTTAGAAACCGCTTTTTTGAAACCGAAAACCGACCCGAACCGCATCTTAGTAAACCCGAAACCGAACCGACCCGAGTAAAGGTAAACCGTTTAAGAACCGAACCATTTATAAACCGAACTGAAAGGAAACCGAACCGTTTCTAACCCGAAACCGTTTGAACTGGCATAAAAACCGTTTACACCGAACCGTTTATAAACCGAACCGTTTAGAAACCGAACCGTTTAGAAACCGAACCGTTTATAAACCGAACCGTTTATAAACCGAACCGCTTATAAACCGAACCGCTTATAAACCGAACCGCTTATAAACCGAACCGCTTATAAACCGAACCGCTTATAAACCGAACTGTTTATAAACCGAATCGCTTATAAACCGAACTGTCAAGCAAATCTTTACTACTTTTTTTTAGTTTGATGGCTCTTATTACAGTAGAATTATATAAGTACAACAGAAATAATAACCAATAATTCGAGACAAATAAGGAACAACATATCAATAATGTAATGTGACTAAAACTATTAATACTTGTTCTATGGGATTAAAACATTTTAGCAAAAGCCTGAACCACAATTCCATATCTTAATTAGATGCAAAACTTTCATCTATCACTTCTTTACCAACGTCAAGGGTGTCTTCTTCAATATCACAATCATAACCACGTAACCAATTTTGTGTGGTAACCAACGCCTCAACATTCTTAGGCAAAAGCGCACTCCTATACTTGTTTAAAATACGACCACCCATGCTAAAAGAAGACTCAGACGATGTAATAGGAATGGCCAAAACATCCCTAGCCATAACAGCTAATAAGGGGTACACACTAATTTGAGATTCCCATGATTTGTATGAGCTATAAAAAGTTGGCTGTGGATCTAAAACCAGGAAACATCATCTTGTGTGTCGTAAGTAAGGTATGCAAAAGTCTCCTCTTTTGCCAGTTCCAATTCCCGGAATTCTACGGAATGCAGCAGTACAGTTCACTTTCTAACATCTGCTGCTGAACATCATAATTCTGCCCTTCATAAATTGGTTGCCGAGGAGTTATGACTACATGAGTGATTGACTAATATGACTATATGAGCAATTGTCAATTTAGCATAACTGCATAACAGATTAGCAGCGTACTAGACTATCCTACTCGGTAATATACTAATACCATTTCATTATTTGATCTATTAGACTCAAGTTAAATGTTACTCTTTCTTATTAACTTGTTAGTCTAATTAAGTAATTACTAATTACTAATTAGTGACTTAAGCCTTAGGGGTAAACCAGTAAAGGATATACAAAAATATAATAATCTTATGATTCTCATCCCTTTATACTAATAATATTTAACTATGAGAATATGAGATGGTTATATCTTATATGTTATGTATCTGTATAATCGATTGAAAGAATCAATATTACCTTCTTCTTCATTAATGTTTTCTTTCATTGTATAAATCAAACTACTTTGTACTATCTTCATATATAACTTTATGCAAATATATAATGATAAACGAGCCTTAATTATCAGTCTTGTTGACTAATTAAGTATCGAATACCAAATTGCAAATTTCGATGTCACAACAACTCATCAAATCATGATTATGACACTATTAACTAAATGATCAAATCAGAAGCAGATAATAATCTGATAGTAAAACAATAATACATTAATGCACTAAACTTTTATAATCTACTTCGTAATAAACTAGTAAGATCAGTATGGCTAAACTTGAATCATAACATGATATGTATTTATAAAATTAATGAGAATTTGCATATACTTCGTAATAAACCGGGATAATAACCATTTACACCGAACCATTAACAAACCGCAACCCGTCTGCACCGAACCGTTTACTACCCGGACTTTTTACAACCCGCACCGTTTACAACCCGAACCGAGTTTAAACCGGGTTAAAAACCGTTTACACCGAACCGTTAACAAACTGCAACCCGTCTGCACTGAACTGTTTACAACCCGGACTGTTTACAACCCGGACCGTTTACAACCCGAACCAAATTTAAACCGGGTTAAAAACCGTTTACACCGAACCGTTAACAAACCGCAACCCGTCTGCACCGAACCGTTTACAACCCGGACTGTTTACAACCCGAACCGAATTTAAACCGGGTTAAAAACCGTTTACACCGAACCGTTAACAAACCGCAACCCGTTTGCACCGAACCGTTTACTAACCGAACCGTTTAGAACCCGAACCGAATTTAAACCGTTCAAGAATAAACCGAAACCGAACCGAACCGATAATTATTTAAACCGAACCGAAACTGACCCGTAAGACATTGAAACCGATTTCAAACCGACCCGATTTCAAACCGAACAGATTTCAAACCGAACCGAAACCGAACTGTCAAACCGTTTTGACAGTGCTACTTGCATATATTGTTTTTCGTTAATTTTCTATTTTGTTTATTTTTCTTTATGAGAACTATATTCAACTTCTTTTACCTAGGTGAAGTATGGCCAGGGCTATATAGTAGCTTATTCAACTAATGTCAAAGACTAGCTCTAGCCAAAGCATGTTTTACATGGTTATTCCAATTTGAATTGTATTGATTGTTTTTAATTTGGAATGGGTGTTGCTAAAATTCCAATATGGTTGAGTAATAAAAAAAACTTTTAGCTAATTGTGACAAAATAGGAACTTCACTCTTGTCTAAACTTTTGTTGTCAATTAACAAAAGAAAAGAAAAGATAGTCTCATTACTACTACTCCGTTTACAAAAGAGTTATAAGGTAAATTTGGTAAAATCAATCTGACCAAAGTGGCAAATCTCGAACGACAAAACCCATACAATACCAAATTGTATCAGAAATTAGATGTGCCTACATGAGGAGCTAACCTAATCTGAGAAATTAAATTGTTTATGGTTCACACAATATCTTAGTGATCCATACACGTTTATTTAAATTATAATAAAGCCAAATTACGATATAATGAATCTCACTTTGACCTAATAAGTTAGCCTATATCCGAATCAAATAACTTACCACACAAATACAACAAAACTAACTATCATTCAATTGACCTATTTGCCACTAAAGCATTAGATAGGGCACAAGTAAACCATGTTGAGAATCTGTGTGAAAATCAAACCTATTATTTTCATTATTCAATTCAATGTCTATTTAATAAACTTATATGGAGTTAATGAGAAATTGAGAACTATGTTCTAGTGGTATAATCGACTAGGATCCATGCATTACACTTGGAACCACCCAAACTTTGACCAATTTATATTACTACTTCGTATATACTTAGTAAGTAAATTGACTCCCCTCTTATTTTATTAATCAACTCCTGAACTTACAAATAATATCTTTAAAAAGTAGTCACCTCCTTAATTTAGAATAAAAACCTCATTGGATTATACCACACTTCATGCATCCTTCCCCACAAAATCACCCTACAACGTTAACTCATTTTTTTAACCACAATTTTCGCGTCAACTCTTTCCTTTATTCCCTCTATAAACCCCTTCTTCTCCTCAAACCATTCTTACCTCCCCTCTAACCCTTTAAAAGTTCATAAGCTATCATAACACAAATAGCATAACACTTACAACCCTTAGCATTACCCCTTTTGTTGACATTTTGTAACGATGATTCGAAGGACTATCAAGGCAATAGCCTTGGTAGCAATCACCTTGGCAATGGTCGTGGCAATAAGCTCCATCAATTTTAGCAACCAACAACACGAGCAAAACTTTGCTCGCGATTCAGGATATGTTGATGACCAAGTTGAAGAACAAGCCGAGGATGATCATTTGCTACTCCCCTCTAAGAGGGTGAGCCGGTTCCTAGGTGAAGGTAACATTGATGATTTTCAACTCCATGGAAGAATCTTAAAGCCCGCGGATCATTGCCACAAGGATTACGAGGTTTGTGACATAGGGTATGGTAAGGACTTTACTTGTTGTGGAAACAAGTGTTTCGATCTCACCATTGATAAGAAGCATTGTGGATCTTGCCATAACAAGTGCAAGTTCACACATGATTGCTGCGACGGAAAGTGTGTAGACAAAACCTATGACAAGAGGCATTGTGGGAGGTGCAACTACAAGTGCAAGGAAGGACAATATTGTGTTTATGGGATGTGTGACTATGCTTGATTGATTTAAATCCCATTTTGAGTCATTATTAATTTGAGGTTTGTCATATTTATTTATTAAGTATTAAAGAGCCACAAATTTGTGGTGGATATTTTCTGTTTTTATGTTTTCATACAAAAACAAAAAAAAAAGCTTACAATTATATATACTCACAGTTTGTTTGATTATTCATACATGCATTATGTCTTGATATGATGATCTTCTGTGCTATCAAAACCAATAATGTACTATACATACATATACCATTTAAATTTACTCTATGTTGTAAGATCTATTGCTTTGGCAATAGTTTGTTGTTATAAATACTAATGTTGTGTTATAGGGATTGGAAATGTCCATTTTTCTTCAGGAAAAGCATGATATTGATTTGATGAGGATACTTAAGTAAATTGTGTATCAAGGTAACTGACTACGCGATTTTACAATCTAATTTTTTTTGTTAAAAGTTAACCTAGGCCGTCTTTTGGTTATTCAAAATAAAAGTAAACGTAATACAAGTAGCATTGTGTGATTACATGATACATTGTTCTCATCATTCTTGATTCATTATTTTTAGTAATTCATCCTCCGTTAGTTTCTTTTTTCGTCACTTTTTGTGTCAAAATAACACGAAGGTGTTCCTTTTAACAATTTTTCTGCTCATTGCATAGCTATTACAAATTGCTTGCGTAAAATTTAATTCAAAAGTTTATACCTAACAATTTCAAATTTGACCACCTTCTCAGACATCTACATACAACAATTTGCATGGCAATATAAGTATATAACTTTACCTATTCTATATACATTATAGCATTTTTCTTTGAAGGAAGTTTTACTTTTATTTGCAACCTCTTCTAATTTGCATTTGATTTCATATGACATTGGTCTCACTTAATTTTTATTATCTTCTAATCACATGATCACCTAATATACCAATTTAGCGTTCCTTATATGTTACAATATAAAAATAACAGTGGAAATATTAGGGAAACACATATTACACTAGCTCCTTATAAGCGATTACTTTAGAAGTAAATAATAATACGAAGTAAAGCATATCAACAACTTGTAAATGTTGTAAAAAAAAAAAGGAAAAAAAAAACGTGTATACAAAGTATAAATAACGACACTTTTAATTTCAATTGGTTTGTTTTTATTGGCTTCAACTTTGTTCCTCAATTATTTTCTCTAATAATAACGAACAAAATGATTATCTTTTCTGCGGGAAAAAATATTAATAACAAACGTAACTTCTATGCAACAATTAGATCTCCTGGATAGTGTGTTTATGCAAAAGGTACAAAATTCCTTCACTATGCAAGAAATGAACTATCAATATAAAAGTGTAAACCAAGTAATAATGCACAATTAGCACCAAAAATTAAGGATATTCCACATTACAGTTGCTTAATTTAGCATAATCTTATGATTAATTAATTAATTAGATCAGAATTGCAGTCAATGTTGTAACACCAAAGTTTCTTAGAAAAAAAATAATAATATGGAGTAATATGCATGGTATTGGTATGTACTCTATGTATGTATAATGTAATACAGCATTGCAGATTTACGGTAAGCTTGTAAATTGTAGAAGAAAAAGCCAAAAACCCACAAATAAGAAAACAAACCTTGAATGTCACATAATTTAATGCAAGCATAAATAATATGTTTACGTGAAAACTAAAAAGAACCCATCTCCATTAAGTTCGCTTTGAACCACGTGTAACACTCGACCCAACAGTAATAGTTTGCACAAATGATGGGATTTTTCACATGAATTCGTCGTCTACTAGCAGTTAGCTAGCTAGCAAGAGAGTCAAAATGAGGCTACGCAAGCTAAATTGATGTTATGAAAGTTGGAATTAATTGGAGACATTGACTTCCAAATACTAGGTAGTTATTGGCGATTACATCGTAGCAGTCATCAAGACTAGAGCGGTCAAAAAATAATTCGATCCAACCAGTTCAACAAAAACTAATATGGCTTGGAAAAAAAAAAAACACACATTCAATTTGCATGGATATATTGATCTCTTACAAACCAGTAACAAATTTGAATTTATGATACACTTTAATTAGACAGTTCATAACTGTCTGTTAACGCGATTTGATAGACATGACATTGATGATCCTCAATTTTAACAATCTTTGTATACTTCGTATTACTATAGTATTCAATGGAAAAACAAACATGCTACCAATTTGCACTCTATACATGTGGGCATCCGTATCCTACAACATGAATAAATTGAATTATGAGATGAAATGTTGAAATTTAAGTCCAAAAGAACAGGATTTTACTCTGGCTAAGTGGCTATCATCCATATAATAATTCTTCCCTAGTGCCCTACCCCCATGTCCAACCACCATCACCAAGAAAGCGATTGATTGATAATGCATTGTGATAACCAACATAATAAACCTGCTCTACTCAGTATCACTACACCATAGTATCAAACACCGGTACTTTGTGATAATCTGATGAGACCAATTCTGTATCCAAACTTCAAACCTGATCCTATAGTGTAAAAGCAAAATTCAAGTGCCAAATGTTATAGGGATAGCTAACTAGGAAGAAATGAGGGGAAAACGGGACAAAAATCACTTGTAAATGAAGCCAACATCATGACATAATTTAAGGAATGAGTAATTTTGTCTAAAACAAGTCTTAATAAGATTCGTACTTATAAGAGGCCGTGTATATGAATCTAAGGATTCGACAAATAGAGATGCCAAACCAATGGTTTTAATCCTATGATTCAAACAAGGGTTTGTAGAAACAAGATATCGATGCCCTTTACTCTGCTACAGTTAGGAGAAGGAAATGTGGTGGTATCTGTTTCATGCCTGCACTCCATAATACAGAGGGTTAGAATTTTCCATTTCAATACATAAATGAAAACAGGAACTTTCCTTCATTTCTTCCACTTAAATGCAGCAAACGGACAGCCATACACATACAGGCATTAGAGCATCAGCACGACGATGAGATCCCTCATCAGATATGGCTTGACTCCAGAAGACTATATATCATCATGGAGGCAGCAGATTTCTCAGCTTCCTTGATTCTTGACTTCTCATCTCCCAACACAGAAAGTTTCTCATCATCTGATGTTACGATCAGAACAGAACATATATATTTCTTCTCTTGACCCAAACCCACTTCTTTTTCAATCCTGCAAGTTGATGTGCATGAAATTATAAGATTTGCTTAATGTAATTTCCGAATATCTGTAAATCACTAAAATTATAAACAAGCCCTATGATTGTACTACACGTAGATACTATCACTATGATCGATAGCATGCAGCTCCAACAAAGTCATACATTTCATTCGTCTCATTGCTATTTACAGATCAGATAAAAATGAGTACCTGTATGTTGCCTTAGACCATTTCTTTTTGCCACAAAGATCATTTAACTTCTGCTTAGCAGATTCAATCTCATATTTCTCGTTAACTTCATATTCAATATCCATATCGTTAACAGATTTGTTGAGCTTCTCTAGTGCCACTTTAGCTGCCTTAAGCTTAGCAATATTTTCCTGGTCAGAAGTTCTAGTTGCAACGAGCTTTGCATCCACGTAAATGCTACAAATATCCTTTTCTCCCTTCCTCCAGTGCCTAATATCAACTTTTTTTCCTTCTTTCTGGCATAACTCATAGAGCATTGCCACTGGCTGCACTGATAATGTCTCGAGTTTAACAATTGGCTCCAGAAGACCCCTGACAACCTACAATTTACTGGCACTGTCAAATATGACAGGATTGACAGCATTGCTGCTATCAATAATTGATGCAAGTACAATGAAAGAACCAAAAAACCAGTGTACTAACCTGCCAGAGAAACTTCAGATCAAAATCACAGTCAAGATAAACAGCTGCTATTACAGATTCCACTATGTCAGCAAGAACCTTTGGGGCTTTTACTGCACCTTTATTAAGAGCAGTATCATCTTCTGCTTCCGCAACAAGTGCAAATTCTCGAACCTTTAGACAAGTAAGGCAGAACTAATAAAATGAGACGTATTCTTATGGATCTAGGACATTTCATATGTTTTTTTTTTTTATTTCCCAAGTGTTAAATTTTCTTATTGCCACATGAAACAGAACTTTTTTTTCCCTTATGTTGTCAGAAATGTTCTGTATTCAACGTATATTACTGCGTATATCCTTATTTTTGTATTTTACGGAGTGTATTTTCCATACATCGTTGCCAAATTTTTATCGAAGTTTGATGCATTCAACTAAACTCAAATCCAAAAAAAAACCTTCACCAGTCTTTTTAGTTGTCTCCGAGTCTCCAACTCAGAGTATAGTCATATACAGTAGTACAGATGTACTCATGTATGTCAACTATCCAGTATGTCCATTTTTTTTCTGGTAGGTTTTACTGCTTTAGTAACAAACATGGGAATGTAAGTAATTAATGCAAGAGTTTAGTACTTAGAGACGCTCATTGTGTCTTCCTTATAAGTGATAATAATCACCTCTTTATAATCTTGTGCATTAACACAAGTACATGCTCTCGTTGTGTCTTCCTTATGAGGGATAATAATCACCTCTTTACAATCTTGTGCATTAACACAAGTACATGCTAGTTCCAATTAAAAATAAACCAGGGGAAATATGAAGGATATAAAACGTAATAAAATTTCCAACATATTATGGATGCTTGAGTAGTTTAGTTGGTTTTAGTGTTAGAGGAGATACCTAAATTTACGATGAATTATTGCCTACGTGATGTACCTAGCTAGGCTACATCATTCGTCTTTTGTGTCTAGGAAAAAAAAATCAAACAAATAGTCCAAATATACACTACTTTGATGATTACTCTGTAAATACTAAATAGTAAAATTGAACATGAAAGAGTATGTACTTGATCATTTCAATGTATAATTTTCGAATATTCCGAATAAAATATTGATAATTTATGCTATCGATCAAATTGGCAAATATGCCAATCAAACCGAGCATTAAAAAACAGGTGAATATAAAAATACTGTACCTTAGCATCAAGAAGAAGAGAATTACGACGGACGTAACGATAAAGGCCAATACGAACGGCGACACGAGCAAGTTTCTCTGTATTAGTATTCGCACAACGGAGGAGATGAAGAATTCCTTCGTCAACATTTGGATAATCCAAAAATACTGAATTTGCAACTGCAAGCCCTAAAACGGCGTCGCCTAAAAACTCGAGTCTTTGGTATGACACTGACTTAGTAGTAGTGCTCGACGAGTGAGTCAGCGCTTCTTCTAGAAGTTTCTTGTTCCTGAACTTGTAGTTTAGTATCCCTTCGACGGCTGAAACGCAGCGTTCTGTGTCTTTTGGTGGGTCCTCCTCGCCGGAGATGGACATTGGGGTGGGGATTGACATTGACATCGGTGGAATCGCTTGTTGTATTAGAAACCTAAATACTCTCGCAGTGTCCGCGCGTGGAGGACAAGACAAGTTTCATTTGAAAGCAAAGGTTGGACCACAGTGGACTTTTCAAGTACTTACCTGGGTCGGGTTTAGTGAGGCGTGATCGGATCAAATCTAATTTAAATTTGACTCATGCAAAACAATTGTGTCCATTTGAGTCAAATTCTGAATTGTGTGTTTTTTTAGGTTAGTTTCAAATCGGATCAATCAAATCAGCTTTTTACACCTCTAACTGTAATGTATTAATTTTTAAAATCGAAACTTCATTGGTATTGTACATTTCCGATTGCTTGTTCATTGTGGTAATTTTTTAAAAGAAATATACGTTTTTCAAAAAAATTAGTCTGTTGAAATGTTGATGCAAGTTCATAAAATGTCTTGAATATGACCGTAATGTATCGGCAAGCAGACTTTCTTAGAAAATGGAAACGCAATTTTCATTTTTCAAGAAGTCATCGCCAAGCCAAAAGCATCCCGCTAGAGGCTAGACTGGCCCATGTACATTTGTAACTTGTTAAATAATAAATAGTTCATCCCAATTTGTTAGGTGTGCTCTTGGTGTTGCTCTACTCCAAGCTAAACAAGATTCATGCTCTTGGCGTTGCTCTACTTCAAGCTAAACAAGACTCACCACACGCTTACAGCATCCGGTAACCAAGAAAGGAAGGCAGTTGAAGAAACAACTATGATAAATTGGGTAAATAAATCACTTACATATTAGGAAAACAAGAGTGTACATTACAATCCACAATTATGCCCAAACAATATGTGAACATGCTTATTTGGTTCTAAGTGAACAAACAACATGACTAGTGTACATCAAATAAGAAATGCCTTAAGATTGTCAAAAAAGGAAAAAAAAAAGGTTGAAAGTTCAACCTAACAGGCCATAAACTTTTCGAATTTATGGATTTGGCAGAGATGAGATGCCAAATTATTTTGAAAAATAATTGAAACCCGTATTAAGTAAACATATTTACGGTTTCAATTAAAGATTTTGTTGATACATGAGAGGCCCATTACTCTGCAGCAGTTAGGTCAAGGAAATGTGGAAGTACCTGTGTCTTATGCCTGTAACTTCAGAGTTCAGAAATTTGCCACACCTGTAAACCTGGGTGGTTTTCTCGGGGGATATTTCCATCACAGTTTCAGGCATAAAAAGCAGGAACTTTCTCCATTTCCTCCACTTAGCTGCAACAGATGAATGGGCCGTAATGGCAGCACATCATCAACACGACGATGAAATCCTTCAGAGATAGTTTGACTCCACAAGGCTATGGATCATCATGGAGGCAGCAGAATTCTCAGCCTCCTTGACTCTTGACTTCTCATCTCCTGACATAAACAGCTTCACTTCTGCTGTTTCGATCTCAACGGAGCACATAAATTTCTTCTCATGAGCTAGCCCCACTTCTTTCTCAATCCTGCAAGTTGATATTAAACATCAGAAAATAAATTAAACCAGTTGATTCAAGATTACTACTTAATTTGTCATTACAAAAATACAGTTTCTAGTTACCAAATGCCCAAATACAAATGTAGTTATTCATATTTTATGCTAGACCTCCGAATAATAAATACTTGCAAAGTTTGGTTTAGGAAAACCTGATTTTATCTTTAAAAGGCTGTTATAATGCAAATAAGCCTTACAGTAGTCATTGTACACCTAAATATCATCAACATAAATTAATGCAGTTCCAAAAAGAAATGATATTTCATTTAGCGAACATCTCACAACAGAGAAAAAGTAATACCTGTATGTTGCCTTTGGCCATTTCTTTTTGCAACATAGCTCATGTAACTTCTGCTTAGCAGATTCAATCTCATTTTTTTCATTGACTTCATAAACAATACCCACATTATTGATAACAGATTTATTGATTTTCTCCAGTGCCTCTTTTGCCGCATTAAGCTTAGCAATATCTTTCTGATCAGAAGTTCCGGTAGCAATAAGCTTTCCATCCACATAAATGCTACAAATATTTGTATCAACCTTCCTCCAGTGTTTCATGTCAACTTGTTTTCCTTGCTTCTGGCATAACTCATAGAGCATTGTCACTGGCTGCAGCGGCAAGGTCTCAAGGGTAACGATAGGCTCCAGAAGACCCCTGATAATCTGCAAATAACATCATAATTTGGAATTCAAACACAGAAGCATTCTTTTAACTATTAACACAAGCTCAATGGAGAGCAAAACACCAGTGTGTACTAACCTTCCAAACATACTTCAAATCGAAATCACAATCGACATAAACAGCTGCTATTATTGATTCTACTATGTCAGCAAGAACTTTTGGGGCTTTTACTGCACCTCCGTAAATAGCAGCAAGTTCATCCTCTGATTCCACAGCAAGTGCAAACTCTCGAACCTTTATACACAAAAGGCAAATATGATCAGATGGGACTTTTTTTATATGCTTCAAAGTAATGAGACATTTCATATGCTTTAAGTAATGTTACAAAATGGACTAATTTTCCATAAATATACTTTTGATTAAAGCCAAAAGTGTTCGAAAATATGCCTAAAACACTTCATGTTTACAACAGCTGCCATAATCAGTATAAATGTTTCATGCAAGACAATCAAATTTAATTTCATATTTATATATGATGTAAACACACCTCTTTAACAATCATTGTACTCCTTAGGATTTATATATGATGTAAACACACCTCTTTAACAATATATTCATAATAATTACTTTTTATTTAGCCCATTACTCTAATACATCATCAATTATTATAGCATCCTCCTATCAAGCATCAACCAAGTAAAAAAATTAATTAACAAAAAACCAACAACCTAATTTGATTTCAAAGAAAGAACAAAGACTAAACAAGTTTGGGAAAACTAATACGGAGTAGAAAAAGATTTGGCACTCCAAAAATTGGTTTTTACACTATTTTTTCATGCTCTACACACAAAAATTAGTGCCAAAATCAGTTTTAGCACACCATCCATTACTTTACTCCCTAATTACACATGCATTACCCTAAATAAATAAACAAATGCAAATGCAAAAAAATTAGTTCTAAATAAATAAACAAATGCAAAAAAATTACTTCTATATATATACTGTAAAACAAATCATAATCATAACCTTTTATTGTTAGGAAGTACAATTCAAAATTAATCCAACCTGACAACAAACTCTTTTTTTTGTAAAAAATAGGTAAATAAATACAGTAACATTCAATTTTTATATAAATAATTTAAATAAAATAAAAAAAAAAAACCCAGACAATTAACGATACAAAATAGTCAAAGTCGACAAACGAGTCCAATTAATACTTCTCATACATGACAACTTTAAAAAAACCGAGGAAATTAAAATAGTCAAAGTCGTGCATTAACAACTGAGTCCAATTCGCGAAATATTTCACTTGAAATTGAGGGATGGATGAGATTCGAATTGCTGGCTCTCGATACCATGTTAGGGAATCATCTCAACCAAAAACAGGTTCAGGAACATGTTTAATACTCTATCAGTAGCAACTTAAAAAAACAAAAAACAGAGGAAATTAGATTAATTAAACCTTAGCATCAAGAGCAAGAGCGTTATGACGGACATAACGGTAGAGGCCGTGGCGAACAGCAACACGGGCGAGTTTCTCGGTGCTGATGTTAGCCGCACGAAGAAGCGATAAAATCCCCTGATCAACACTTGGATACGCCAAATACACAAAATTAGCAAAAGCAAGTCCAACAACTGCATCTCCAACGAACTCGAGTCGTTGGTAGGATGCTGACTCAGTACACGAGGAGTGAGTCAGCGCTTCTTCTAGAACCTTCTTGTTTCCGAACCTGTACTTTAGGATTGATTCTACTGATGAAACGCAGGATTCCATGTCTTTTTTGTGGGTTAATAATTCTGTGGAGAGTGGTAGTGGTGGTGGTGGTGGTGATGGTGAAGTTGAGTTGAATCGGTGAGTCATTGTTGGGATCGCTGAGTTGGGAAGAGAGGAAGAGAGAGAGAGATTGGTGGAGATTTTTGGGAGTTTGAAGTTAAGTCAATTAAGGTCCCTACTTTTGAGTTTAAGATGTTTTTTTCTTTTAAGTCTTACGAGGTACTCTTTCCAATTTGTTTAAATTTTTATACCCTCCGTTCATATTAAATGCAATAGTAGGTGTACACAAAATTTAAGAAAATTGATAAGGTGGGACTTTAAAAAAAAAAAAATTATAACACGGAGTATTTTGTATAAAGTATGGTTGGTAAGATAGAGAAATATTGAAAAAGTAGTATAAATGGGGTTAGTAAGGAAGAAAAATAATAAAATAATTGTGAAAGTGGGGTTAATGGGAGAGAGAAATTATAAAATAATGGTTCCTTACCAAAAATAGTAGTGTTGCAATTATTATAAAACGGCCGAAAATAAAAAGTATTGCGTTTAATATGAAACAGAGGGAGTAAATATTTTTTATTATACATAGTAAAATAAATAAATAAATAAATTGAGGGTAGCTCCTTCATCATATTGAATTCTTTTTTATTTTTAGACGCGATGCGTGACGCCCAGGCAAGCGTGCCCTTGACCTATAGGCTTTTTAACTTCTTAACTCTGAAAATTATTACCTAACTTTTGATAATTTCTTAATTAAAAAACGAAAAACGCTTTAGAGGTTGTTCTCTTCACCTTATAAAAATAAGTTTCAGATCTAATAAGTTCATATCACTTCAAATAAGTTTAAATAAGTTACAATAAGGTCCAATAAGTTTAATAAAGTGTAACAAGTTCAATAAGATTTAATAAGTCAAATAAGGTCTAATAATTTTTAATCAAGTCTAACAATAAGGTCCAATAAGTTTCAATAAGTTCTAATAAGTTTTAATAAATTCAATCAGGTCTAATAAGTTTTAATAAGTTCAAGCAAGTCTAATAATTTCATATAAGTTCAAATAAGTTAAGGTCCAATAAGGTGAAGAGAACACACCCTAGTGTATAGAATTGCATTTTCATTGCACTTTTATTTTGATAAAGTTATTTGTAAATTTTGAGTTTCACAAATTAAAGTTCAACTAATATTTAAGTAATTTTTTTGGACGGATATTAAAGTAATAAAGAGTAACTAAATTCAGTGATTTTTATTGTAAATCGACAAATCGTACATCAATCTTTATTCTACTACGAGTAGTTCATTGATAATTTCTATCAATTACATCCATATTTTGGGCTTTGTATGATATGTCACATTATTTTAACTACGAGTAGCTTATCTATTAAGTATTGGTTGTATTTGGACAATTAGGTTAGAACCCGTGCGATGCACGGTTTATATAAAATCTATTTTATAATTTGTATATTTTAAAAAAAATGGATAAATATAAATAAGAATTATGCACCTTTTACAAAAACATTTGTAATTTTATAGTTTTAGATTTTCATCAAAATTATGAAATAATACCTGTTCAACGTCGCTTAATACATATTTCAATGTAGGAGTCCATTCATTAGTGTGCTATTCCAACGGTTTCATTTTTTAAAGATAAATTGATAGATTGTAGTTGTAATGTAGAAGCTTCTAATATTCAAATTGTTAAATATGGTAGCTCCAAAAAAAAAAAAAATTGATATCATCCTTGCATTTAGGCGGGAAAAAATTTATTACGTAAGTGACATGTAGACCGTGATGATGTCAGCAACGTTTTGTTTCAATAATAGTTAATTTTTTTTTTGGATAACCAATGGGATACTTTAAGTTAGGGTAAAGTTTTAGTTTTTTTTCCTTCACACAAAAAAAAAAAATCAATTTTATCAAAAACTTTAGGTCTTGGGTCTGATCAAATTGGCCAGAGCCACTTATAATTGTCCAAAAAAACAATGGAATAATAATAAAAAAAAATGATAATAATAATAATAGAATCTATGTAGTTATCAAAGGATAAAAAGCCTTGTCTCTAAGAATTGCCTCAAGACCTCAAGGGAAATCCAGCCTATTTTTTCCTTTAAACACAAACACTAAATTCCCCAAAGCAAATAGTCATAAAAGAAGCCCCTTGATGGTGTTGATTTAAAGCATGCAAAGTCGCGTACCAATTGAAACAAAATATATTCCTAATGTTTTCTTTTTCTTACCTTTACCAAAAATAAATAAATAAATAAATAAAATAAAAAAAGTTGATGATAAAAAATAAACATTCACCAACCTGAGAGAAAATTTTAAAACTAATCTTCAGGAACTTTCCTAAGGGAAAGTGAAACATGTTGAGTGACTCAGCTACCAAAGAAAAGCAAATATTCGTGTAATTGGTTTTTTGTTTTTATTTTGGGTTTAAAAGTTAAATAACTGTTACCTTTTTTTTGACACATAAATAACTGTTACCTGAATAGCATGTTTCTTTCTAAAGCCTCTAACCAAGAAATAACGCAAATAACACCTCAGTATCTGAACGTTATCAGACACACCTTTATTAACAGTCCAAAATCACGATCAAAACAGCAATTAACTGAAAACTCAAAAACAATTTCGTTTATGTACAAAAAGATGATAGTTAACTCCCTCAAAAAAAAAAAAAAAAAAAAAAAGATGATAGTTAACAGTACTAAATAAAGAAAAAAATACGATGAAGGAAACACTAATTATGTCTATGCTAATTATGTTTGACATTCAGCTAAAAGAGAAATTCTATTCGGCCTATTCACCGCCTTTTCCATTTCTGTCTACAAGCATACAATGTAAAGCTTCTAATGATATGTTTAAATTGAATTGACAATACATAGGAGGTCGGAAGCAATCACTTGGTATACAGGACAGGAAGCTTGTAATATGTATAACTTAGTTCACCATCATATGTTCAAATCCAGTTCCAGGTTGAAATGCAACTCGAGGTCCTCCAACATTGAGAAGCAGCTGTTGAAGCCACTTTCTTGTAGTTGGATCTTCCTGAAATTCAAACCATGAAATGTGTGTGAGGAATTTGAAGATTAACACTTTTGAGTTTTAAAAAGCAAAACGAGCCCTCAAATCATGGCTATAAGACTAAGCTTTCAAACAATAAATGAGTTAATGAGTGAATCCACATTTCACAACACACAAAATGCGCCCCGTTCGGCAGCAACAAAAAATCAATAGTATGGTCCAACCATAGATCATGTTTGGAGTACAAATCTAGCAGAGTCCCGCAGGCTATAATAGTAGATACAGCAAATATTCCAAGTGCCAGATGTTTTCCTGTCGGACCACTAACCACCTAAACTTGAACCCAGGCTATTGAATTTTCAAGTACTCCCTCTGTTCCATGAAGTTCTTCCCATTTACTATCGACACACATACTAAGGGGAAAAAAAAAAAAAAGATGTTTGAACACGTGATTATGAGGAGAGATAGTGTAATATGAAAAATGGTCCCAAAAAGTGGGTCAATTTAGGATAAAATTATAATATTTCATTGACAAAAAAGTAAAAAAGTAAAAGTTGGAAGAACTTCATGAAACTTCCCTAATTAGAAACTGGGAAGAACTTCATGTAACAAGGGGAGTGATAAGTTTTAAACAAATAAAATAATCATAAATAGAGAAAATGCATCATGTATCCTGCCAGCGATTAGTGTGTGCATCTCCTAGAAACTCCCCGAGACCAAACTACCAAAGGACTATGAGAGATTTCTATTTTTCATCAGCCATGATAAGGAAAATACACGGCAGTTTCCAACATGCTCATTAAGGTATGTAGAATTGTAGACTCATAAAAAAGGTGAGAAATTTTGGCACTAGAAGCTCACATTTTGAAAAATGCCGCCAAAGATGGGATGTGATTTAAGTGTTTAACCGACATTATACACACTTACACAGTGAGAACATGATGCTATATTGTATTTTCTCAGATCCATGATGCAACTGTAGCAGATACAGTTGTTCATGTTTCTTGAATTGGTCAAAAAATGTGCTGAAAGCCTATTATTTCTTGTCAATATCAAATCAGGTCAATTTTTCAAGTTCAATCACCAAACATGCATGACACTTAAACAAAACCCTCAGAAGGTCAAAGCAGCAATGTAGCATTTTACCAGACAATCCCAAAATTATCAAGGACTAATCCAAACTACAATCCACGTAAATCACTAACGAAGTAACGAAAGGTTGTGGGAAAAAGGTAAACTCTCGTTTGCCACGAAAAAATAGCTGACTCTTACTATCAACCACACAGAAAATTACTACAATCTAAGGCCTCGTTTGGTTTGATGTAAAACACTCTTAATGAAATATTAGTTTTCATGAAAAGCATATTTTCAAGGAAAACATCAATTACAAATTAGTAAAAATAGGAAGTGAGAATGTGAAGATGGATGAGAGGGAAGTAAAAAGGAGTTAAGCAAAAGGAGGGAAAATGTGGCTTCCCTTGTTTTGTACAAGAAAATGCTTTCCACCATTAAAGATGCAAAATTTTCACCATTAGGAAAATTGATTTCCATCCCTTCACAAACCAAAAAAGGAACATGGGATAAAATGGGAAAATTGTTTTCTATGAAAACATTTACATCAAACCAAAAGGGGCTAAATGCATGATGGAATGGAACCATGAATCACAAACACAAACACAATCAAAGTCAATGCTAAAACCTTCACAGGTTTCTCATACCACATCATCAAGGACAACATCAGATACTAGCATTTATTAAAATAATAATAATAAAATAAAATAAAATAAAAAATCCCAAAGGAAAAGAGATACACTTTATATATATATGGCAAAAAAATGACACACAAAAACAGAGAAAACTTACACGAAGGCAACTAGCAAAGGTGGCATCCCTCAACATATCTGGCAGACAGCTTCGCAAAGCATCACATGCTCTGCAGAACAAACAGAAGGCAACGCAAATAATTAAGCATAAATAAGAGGACCACAGCTGAAAATAATAACCATAAATCCAATCACTTTACCAACCTAGGATTATCTGAAAGTCTAAGGTAACATCTAATAATATGTTTCAGAAGCCGTGAAGAAGGCTGCTCAGCCAATGCCGCAACCATGTTGGCTAGAACTCTTCCAACTGCAAAAAAGCGCTCCGCTGTTGTACATATGTAATCCAGGCCTACATCATCCAGAAGAATCTTTTGGACTATAAATGTAGCAACCTGTCAACAACCAAACAGCATGCTAAACTTTACATAACATACAAAGAACAGGTTTTGATATCCCACTAAGAAGCTTTTTCCTTCCCTCTGTGCTTTAAGCCTTTAACTAGTTATCATATTTCCTCCGTTTTTTTTAGTTGACACATTTTGACTTTTGAGACTAATCACAAAATCTACTTTGACTAGCTTTTGTGATTTATAGTGACGAATCTTATGATATATCATAGTTATGTGGGGTCTTTCTAGAATCGTCTCAAAGCATGCATTCATATATCAACTTGTTATAATTATATTACATTTTTGCATATTAATAATTAGTGATAATTGTTGAACTTGAGCGTTGGCATACTTGAGTGTTGGCATACTTGATAAGGGAAACATGTCAGCTGAAAAAGAACAGAGAGCCCATACAATAAATAACAGTACCATACAATAGGACCCAGAAATCCATCACATAAGAAGCAAACATCATATACATTAGGGTCAGTTAGCTACAATAAACAAGAAACGATTGGGGGGGGGGGGAGGATTTAGGGAAAGCGTCTATCAACGTTACAAGAAACTTACTGTTTTTGACAATTCACTACCCATTTCCATGGTACGAAGACACAATGGAATTATTTCTGTTGAGAGAAGGAAACTAATGACTTCTGTGTCATCAACCTGAAAATGAAATTCCCGAATTACAAAAATATATACAACACCAGTCTAATGAATAATATTTTATTTTTTAAGTCATTAAGAATAAAGACAAGGATCCACAAAGTATACTATATACTTTCCAATGCTGAACTGTTTCAACTACCAATATCATCTTTAATTTTATATGTTTCCTTTTTCTCAAAAAGTTAACCTAAGATTAGTACTTCCTCCGTCTCTTTTTAGTTGACGCATTGCATTTTGGCGCACATATTTAGGAGAAGTGAGAAGGTTAAAGACAAAATTATCCCTTATACTTACCCACCCACTATGACTAGAATACCAGGTACCACCTAGGAGTACTACCTTTCTCTCTCATCATCATCACCATTCACCATCATTCTCTTTCCTCCTCTACTCACGGTCTGCACCTCCATTCTTGATCATCTCGCTGTCTAAATTTTTTTTACTTTCCTATTTCTTTTAGCAATTAAATAAAAAAAAAGCACAAATTAATTAGCTAGCTGAAATTTTCATATTTTTATATACGATTGAAGGTATTATCCTTTACGGCATAGGTGGTTTTGGGCGTTGGTGGTTTTGGGAGGCAGCGTCATGGTCGGTGAGGTTGTGGTGGCTGGGCAAGTGGTGTTGCGGTCGTGGTTGGGCGGAGTTACAGGAAGCAAGGAGAAGCTTTGGGGCTTTAATGGGGTTTTATTTGGGAATTTGGGTATGTTACAAGGAAGAGAGGAAAGAGAAGTGATGGTGGTGGTGGTGGTTGCTGTGATGGTGATGGTTTCATGGTGATGAATTTGAGGATGGAGGTGGTGAAGTGGGAAGATAATGGAGGAGTGAGAATTGAGAAATCAGTTTTTGCTAAAGGGAGGAGAGAGAAGATGAGTTGGGGAAATTAATGAGGGTAAAATTGGCATTTTAACATATAAAGCTTACCTAAACTAGAAACGTGTCAACAAAATAGAAATTTCCCAAAAAGAAATACGTGTCAACTAAAAAAAACGGAGGTAGTATATAATTGTTTCATACATAAACAGGAGATATATGAGGTGTATTTTAGCTTGAAAATTGAAGAATCTTAAATCACATCAAGAATGTCAGGAACAGCTAAAAGTGCTCCATGATTTTCTTCAAGGAAAATAATAAAGATCCAACTGCAATCTTCTTCCTAGTTCAACCTCCCTACCCCCAAGAGACTAATTCAGGATTATTGGTAAAAAACAATACAAGTAATTTAAGACAAAATTTGAAAGAATCCAGCAATATCAATACCTTAACCAGAGCACCAATGACACCCAAGCTAGTTAGCCGCAAGTACTCAAAAGGCCTGGATTTGCTTGTTGTGTTGAGGAATGGATATAGATATAACGGGATATGTGCTGAAAAAATAAATATATAAAAATGGTTCTGGACATACAGTGTCAGCAAATTTTAACTTTACAGCATGCTTTCACATGTAATTCTTCAGGTTAATAAACATAACTGTCTAGAAATTTTTGTTAAGCTTGAAAATCTGACTTAATATTGTGTGCCACAAAATCCTAAAAGGACAAACATTTCCAGATAGATGGAGCAACACAATTGATCACATGGTTCTTGTCATGGTAACCCATTTATTCCAACCTAAGTGCAGTGAAGAAAAGGAAGTCGTTCGCCAAGCGAAAGAAAAGACTTATCAGGAGGTTTATGAAAAGCTTGACTCTAAGGAGAGAAAAAATATCATTTACAAGATGGCAAAGAGAAGACAAGAGGCAAGGAAGGATATTGGCATGGTAAAGTGTCAAAGATAAGAACCAAATTATTCTAGTACAAGATGAGAACATCGATGAATTGTTTAATGGGAGTCAAGGAGTTGTGACACGAGAAATCTCTGTGAATGATGAAGAAATCGACGTGAGTATGTGCGGAGGATTAGGAGAGTAGAGGTAGAGATTGCACTGAAGAAGATGAAGCCTAAGAAGGCGGCTGGCCCTAATGGTATACCGATGGAGGTGTGAAGGTGTTTAGGTAAAATTGGTATTGATTGGTTAACAGACCACTTTAACAAGATATGGAGGGCAACAAGGATCCCGCAAGATGGGAGAAAGAGCACCTTGGTTCCGGTCTATAAAAACAAAGAAGACGCTGAAGATTGTACTAACTATCGAGGGATTAAGCTTATGAGCCACATTATGAAGTTGTGAGAAAGAGTAATTGAACACAGGTTGCGGGCAAGCATAAGCATTTCGAATAACCAATTTGGTTTTATGCCCGGAGATCTACTATGGAGGTAATCCATTTGATAAGACAAATGATAGAGTTTTATAGGGTAAAGAAGAAGGATCTCCATATGGATTTTATTGATTTAAAGAAGGCATATCAAGAGAGGTACTTTGGTGGGCAATGTTGAAGAAAGGAATTCCACGAATGTACGTGGACGTGGTTAAGGATATGTAATGGGATGTGTCAACAAATGTGAGGACATGTGGAGGGTTGACAATTGATTTTCCTATTAAAACTGGATTGCATCAAGGGTCTGCATTAAGCCCTTTTCTTTTTACAACGGTCCTAGATGAAGTAACCGGGCGAATTTAAGATGAGGTTCCATGGTGTATGTTGTTTGCGGATGATATCGTTTTGGTGGATGAAGCTAAAGATGGGGTTAATGCCAAATTGGAGCAATGGAGGCAAAGGTTGGAATTTAGAGGGTTTAAGCTAAGTCGGAGTAAAGCTGAATTATTTGGTATACCGCTTTAGTACACAGAGGGGACAAGTGATAATGTAGTGAGTTTGAACGGAAAGGGCTTAACCATGAGTGAATGTTTTAAATACCTTAGGTCGATCATCTAGAAAAATGATGACATTAAACAAGACGTGGTCTAGAGGATTAAGTTAGGGTGGCTTAAATGGAGAACGACCACGGGAGTGTTATGTGACCGAAGCATTCCCTTACAAAGGGAAAATTCTACAAGACTTCCATAAGATCAGTGTTGCTCTGGTACAAATATTGGGCTTCTATGAAGGAGCACATTAAAACGATAGAGGTTATGGAAATGCGCATGTTAAGATAGATGTGCAGGAACACTCTAAGAGATAGAATAAAAAATGAGATCATTCGTAAGAAAATGGGTGTGGCAGGCATTGCAGACAAACTAAGGAAAAATCGTTTGCGTTGGTTCGGGCATGTAAAACGGAGGCCCGATGGTGCACCGAAGAGTGGGACCATGGAGGGGTTAAATGAGGGAGAGAGAGACCGAAAATGACTTGATTGGAAGAAGTTAGGAAGGATATGAAGTATATGGATTTGCATAAGAATGAGGCCTTTGATCGTAAGGGATGGAGGAGGAAGATTTTGTAAATGACAATACGGAATAATCACTTTTGGTTCATGTAGCCGACCTCACTTATGGGATTAAGGCTTTGATTGATTGATTGATTTAGGTGCAGTCAAAAGGATAGCAAAGTTATAATTGCTAAGAAAATATCTTATGGTAAGTTACTAATGCACATAAAGCCTGCCACACTTTGACATGCACAATTCTCAACATGATAATCATAAGAATCACAATGAACCCAGCTTGAATGTACTTCCATGGAGCATTTAACATTGTATAGCTCAATACTTGGTGATAACTGGTCATAAAAGAGAGAATCAGACCCATAGTATTATAACTGATGAAACAAATGATTCAACAAATAATGTAGATGATCTCAGATCATTACAACATGCAGCTGTTGTCATGGTAGAGTTAACACACAAAATTAAAGTCATGCAAGCAGCAGAGAGTAAAAACTATTTACAATTTAGGTACAAATTCTCTATACATAATAACAAATGGGAACATAAAACCATATAAAAATGCAAGCAGCTGATTGATGGACATGAATCAGTAATACATCCTCCAAAATTATGTTTCTGGCAATAGAGAATGTGGGACACATGGTAATCCCAAGAATAAAATGGTTCTCATATTTTTTATTGGAATGCACATGGTGTACCAACAACTAAGTATAAAAAATTAATCAATTCCCTTATAATGCACTTAGTCAGGGAACTCACCATTTAAAAATAGCATCCGAGTATCAGGGTGAGATGCTACACACTGCGGGAAAACAGAAAGATTAATGTCACCAGACTACAAACATTAAATATTAAATAGTAGAGTACAGCCACATAGCTCATTTACTAAACAGCAAGAACAGCAGACAGCCAATATGAGCAGGACTGATCAACTAAATTATCTTCATAAGTTCAGTTCTATATATAGCCACATGACCTTAGCAGGTTTTATATTTCAAATTTAATTTAGTGAACTATCCCTTCAAAGATTTACAAAATTATGCGAAATTTAGCAAACCATTGAAACTCTGTAGAAATTTTCCCACCCGACATATCCCCAAAGTTGAAGCAATGCTTACAAAAGTCTACAGCAATCACAAATAGCAAATTGGTAAAGCAAGGGCGAGGCATTATAGAGGCTCAAATATGCCATGGCCCCTCCCAAAGGCCCAAGTACCCTAGTAAAAAAAAGGCTGACAAGTCAAAAGTTTACAGCTTTCTATTTGTCCACCCCCCTCAACCATTGCATCTGGTTTTCCCCTGAATTTATATCAGGAGATGGTATTAGAAACTTGAAAAATTATTTCAAATAAGAAAGGCCAAATCAAATTCATATTTATCAACTTTGGACTTAATTAAGATCAATCAACTGGTTTACCAGCAGTAATATTTATCCTTTTTATTTATCTTTTCATAATTCTCTTCATAAATCGGTGTAAGCAACAACAGAGACGAATAATAAAGGAAGAAGAAAAGAAAACAAAATACACAAATAAGATGTAAATGTGCAGTCAATACAACAAAAATGATTAATTCTCAAATACCACAGAACAATTTGGTTAACATTAGGACTAAAGGCACATAGATTTGAAAGGGAGAAGGTATTCAAAGAGGGCCACAGAGATGAATTTTAGTTAATAATTCCAGAACAATTTGCATATTACATATCGGATTATGGGAACATGAATAATCTTTGAGGACACAAGCTAGGTGGATTGCACTATTGCAGTACTTTCAAGGATTATTACTCTCTGGACAGAAAGATAAAACAAACACACTGTATTGAGAACAAAACAACTCATATACAGCAAGAAAATTAAAAAAGGCATAGGTTAGGAAAATAAAGAATAGAAAGGAAGAAAGTTAAAAACAGATGACTTCAATATTACATACTAACTCAAATCCAAAGACTGAGCACAAAAAACCAATAACCCCAATCAGCCACACTATGAATAAGTTGGAAAAGAAAAAGATTTTAAACAACCTAAATACAACAAAGGAACAAAAAAGGTCAAACCTGCAATAAAGCAAGAGCATTGCAGACACGGTTTGATTGTCCTGGATTTAGGGTAGGTGGTGACAGCACCTGGTATATTGACACAATCTCCTGCAGCCAAATAATTACTCACCAATGTCAGCAAAACTTAAATCTTATTACAAACAACTAATCAGTAATACTCAAAAACTCTAAATATTGCAGTACAGTATTCTATTTAAATGAATTATTTTTAAAAGCTAAACAAGGATATATATTTCATAGTTACAAGAGGGACATCAATTGAATACTAAGGGGCCGTTTGGTTCGGACGGGGTAAACGAAATGGAATGAACAAAGGGAAAGAAAGAGAATGGAATGAAAATACCTCAAATTTACTATGTTGTTTGTTTTAAAAACAAAGAGAAACAAACCGCCTGTCTCACTACCACACCACCACCACACAACAACCTATCTCCTTCACTTCCCACCTTTTCCAGCCACCCCACCATTCGCCGCACCCTCCCCACCACTCGCCTTTGTTCGCCGCTTCTCCCCCGCCCTTCACCGCCCCTCCCCTCCCCCAGAAAACTTCCCCAAGCCCCGTAAAACCCTAGAAACCCTAGTTTGGTAATCCTTCCTGCCTAAACCATATCTTCCCAAAAAAAAAAAAAAAAAAAAAAAAAAAAAAAAAAAAAAAAAAGTTAAATGTCCAAATTTAAAGTCAAAATCTACCATACATCCTAAGTGGAATCTTAGGACATCAACCAACCCCCACCCCCTCCTCAATACCCCAAACAACAAATTTCCCCACTTTGTTGTACTATGTGTTCCCATCTCTAACATATTCGATTTCAATCTTTGGACTAAAAACTTGACTTGACTTTTATCAAAGAGAGGAACAAGAGCAATTAGTCGTGATTAGAGAAATAGAAAAGTTGAGATAGAAAGGAATGGGATAAATGATGAGATACTATGATATGCAGTTTGGTTTACGCTACCACAGTTGTTCTAAGTGAAATCTCTTACCTAAATCATAATTTCTTAAGCCAGTGTTTGGAAACATTGTTTTCATTTCAAATTCTATATTTCAATTTTGGAAATTGAAATCCTTGCTTTCAATTCCAAATTACTTGTTTGGGAAAACAATAATTTTAAATGTAGAATTTCACAGTATCCATGGTGTTTGGCAATACTTTGGAATTTTAATAACAAAATTAATTAATTTAATTAATAATCAATGTACAAAAATCCGCAATCTTTCAATAACCAAAACAATAACCTTCATCGTCATCAATTCCAAAGAAATTACTCACATCTTATCCCAAAAAATGGTCAATCATATCCAGAAATGAGATATTGTAGCCCCAACTCCGCCAGTGGGTTTCTCACTGGTCGTCCAAGCCTGGATAAAGGAGGAGCGTTTCGGTAGGACAGTGACAGCAAGTGTAAAACTTTGCCACATCCCATGATATGAGCCAAACTGATATTTTCGTGGAGGCGTTTTCTACTAAGCGATGCGCTACACTTCCTAGGCCCGGGTGTAGTGATAAGTATGCAAGGGTTGCTAGGTCGTCGCCCAGAAGTGACGCGCTATACTTCCTAGACCCGGGTGTAGTGATAACTATGCAAGGGTTCCTAGGTCATCGCCCACAAGCGACGCGCCACATTGCCCGAGCGTGGTGTCAAATAAGCAAGGGCGTGCCATTGGGGCATTCCATACTGAGCGACGCGCTGCACTTCCTACACTCGGGTGCGATGTAAAGTATGCAAGGATTGCTAGGTCGTCGCCCGAAAGCGACGCGCCACATTGCCCAAGTGTGGTGTCAAATGAGCAAGGGCTAGCAGTTGGGGGCTCGAGGGAGCGTGGTAAGAGGGAGCAGGTGAGGAAGGACTCTAGTTTGCGGATTGGTTCTTGGAATGTGGAGCCTCTGACGAGAAATTAATTAGCAGAAGTGGTAGAAGGGATGAAGAGAAGACGTGTAAACATCATGTGCCTCCAAGAGACAAGATGGACGGAAGAAGGAGCTCGAGGCTTGGTTTTGGGGTATAAGGTGTGGTATGTTGGACAGGAAACAAGCCACACGACTAGCAATGGTGGAGCTCGGAATGGAATTGGTGTAACTCTTGATGAGAGGTTGTCAAAAAAAGGTAATTGAGGTTTATCGGAAGAATGATAACTTGATAAGGGTGAAGTTGCTATGTGGCAAGGAGATCGTGAATGTTATTAATGCTTATGCCCCCCAAGTTGGTTTAGATGCAGAAGATAAACGACAATTTTGGGAGGATTTAGATGAGGTGGTACAGGTTGTCCACTAGAAATTATATATTGGAGGTGATTTCAATGGGCATCTTGGGGTGAACCGAGATGGCTTCGAGAGTGTTCATGGAGGCTTTAGGTATGGGCAAAGGGACGTAAGTGGTAAGGCTATTATGGATTTTGCCCAATCATATGTTTTAATTTTGGCTAATACTTGGTTTAAGAAGCGAGATTCACACTTGATTACTTTTCGGAGAGGAGCAAATGCAACACAAATAGACTTCCTGCTCACAAGGAGCACGGATACAAAGTTGCTTAAACTGCAAGGTCATCCCAGAAGAGAGTGTGGTCACCCAAACCGACTTTTGGTTATGACCATTCGTTTGAAAGAGAAGGCGAAGAAAATAGGAAGACAAGAGGAGCCAAGGATAAGATGGTAGACTTTGAGGGATGCGAATGCTAAGGTTTTTACAGAAAAGATAATCAAGGAGGCGGATTGGGATGGAGAGGTGGATCCAGACATAACTTGGGTACGAATGAAGAATGTTTCTTGAGAGTGGCCAAACAGGTCTTAGGGGAATCAAGGGGGAGAACTTCGATGCATAGAGATATTTCGTGGTGGAATGAAGGGGTGAAAGCAGTAATTAAGCAAAAAAGGGAATGCTATCAAGCCTTGGGAAAATGTAGGAGCAACGAAACCTTTGCAGCGTATAAGGAGGCTAAGAGTAAGGCAAAGGCAGTTGTTCATCAAGCGAAAAAAAAAGGCTTATCAGGAGGTTTATGAAAAGCTAGACTCCGAGGAGAGAGAAAAGATCACTTATAAGATGGCAAAAAGAAGACAAGAGACAAGGAAGGATATTAGCATGGTGAAGTGTGTCAAAGATAAGAACCAAATTGTTCTAGTACAAGATGAGGACATAAGGTGGAAGGGGTACTTCGATGAATTGTTTAACGGAAGTAATGGAGGTGTGACAGGAAAACCTCTGTGAGTGATGAAGAAATCAACATGGAGTATGTACGGAGGATTAAGAGAGTAAGGGTGGAGATTGCACGGAAGAAGATGAAGCCAAAGAAGGCAGTTGGTCCTTATGGTATACCGACAGAGGTGTGGAGGTGTTTGGGTAAGATTGGTATTGATTGGTTAACATACCTCTTTAACAAGATATGGAGGGCTACAAGGATTCCACAAGATTGGAGGAAGAGCATCTTGGTCCCGGTCTATAAAAACAAAGGGACCAAGCTTATGAGCGACACTATGAAGTTGTGGGAAAGAGTGATTAAATATAGGTTGAGGGCATGCACTAGCATTTTGGATAACCAATTTGGTTTTAAGCGTGGAAGATCTACAGAGGAAGCAATTCATTTGGTAAGACAAATGATGGAGTTTTATAGGGCAAAGAAGAAAGATCTTCATATGATTTTTATTGATTTGGAGAAGGCATATGACAAGGTGCCAAGAGAGGTACTTTGGTGGACAATGTTGAAGAAACGTATCCCGCGAAGGTACGTGGATCTGGTTAAGGATATGTATTGGGATGTGTCAACAAATGTGAGGACATGTGGAGGTTGACAAAAGGTTTTCCTATTACAATTGGATTGCATCAAGGGTATGCATTAAGCTCTTTTCTTTTTGCAACGGTTCTAGATGAAGTAACTAGACTAATTCAAGATGAGGTTCCATGGTGTATGCTATTTGTGGATGATATCGTTTTAGTGGATGAAACTAAAGATGGGGTTAAAAGTTGGAGCAATGGAGGCAAAGGTGGGAATCTAAAGGGTTTAAGTTAAGTCGGAGTAAGACTGAATATTTGGTATGCCGATTTGGTACTCAGAGGGGGACAAGCAATAATATGGTAAGTTTGGATGGAAAAGACTTGACCATGAGTGAATGTTTTAAATATCTTGGGTCGATCATCCGGAAAAATAGGGACATTGATCAAGACGTGGCTCACAAGATTAAGTCAAGATATTTCTACAAGACCGAAGCATTATGGAGAGCGGCCACGGGAGTGTTATGTGACCGAAGCATTATGAAGAGCGGCCACGGGAGTGTAAGCATTCTCTTACAGTTGAAGGGAAAATTCTACAGGATTGCCATTAGACCGGTTTCTAAGAAGGAGCATATTAAAAAGATGGAAGTTATAGAAATGCGCATGTTACGGTGAATGTGTGGGAACTTTCTAAGAGATAGAATCAGAAATGAAGTTATCCGCAAGAAAGTAGGTGTGATAGGCATTGCAAACAAACTAAGGGAAAATCGTTTGCGTTGGTTTGGGCATGTAAGATGGAGACCCGAGGGTGCACCGATACGAAGAGTGGAAGGATGGGACCATGGAGGGCTTAAACGAGGGAGAGGGAGACCGAACATAACTTGGTTGGAAGGAGTTAGGAAGGATATGAAGTATATGGACTTGCATGAGGGTGAGGTATTGGATCGTAAGGGATGGAGGAGGAAGATTTTTGTGGACGACCACACGGAATAATCATTTTTTGTTCATGAAGCCGACCCCATTTATAGGATCCAGGCTTTGATTGATTGAAACCCACTGCTATACATAGGATCGGAATTGATCTAACGATTTCATTAACCTGTCGTCGAAGTTGTCGTCATTAGAGGGCAAAGTATTGGAGAAAAGGATGGGGACCGCTAAACAATCAAGAGAGAAGAGAGAAAGAAAGTTGAAGAAGGGGATTTTCATGAAAGGGATGAACAAGAGTATATGATAAATGTTTGAGTAGTGGGGTTGGGTTAAGTTGGAAATTCTAAATGACATGGTTTGACTAATTATTTCAAATTCTTAGTTTTATGAAGTTTTCTTAATTGTTTAAGAATTTGGGATAATTCATATTTCAAATTCTAACTCATTCAAACACTAGAATTAACTTAATTCCAGAAATTCCTGTATCCAACCAGCATTAAGTTATTTTCATTAATCTTGATGTATTCCTTTTAACTTTGAAATTAGTGGGGTTGTAAGAGTTTAGCAAGAGGATATCTTAATTTTATTTCGGCTAACAAGAGACAAGGTGGCCAGGAAAAGGAGCTAAAGACTTGGTTTTGGGGTATACGGTGTGGTATGTTGGACAGGAAACGAGCCACATGACTAGGAATGGCGGAGCTAGGGGTGAAACTAATACGGTTTAAAAACGAACCAAATAGCAAAATAAATCAAATTAGTAATGCGGTTCGATTTTTTTTAATATGGTTCAGTGCGGTTTGAGAAATAAAAAAATTGCGGTTTGGTTTCGGTTTTAGGATTAGAAAACCGAATACCGAAAATCAAACTGAAATACAGACCCATATCTAAATTATAGCCCAAATCTAATTTTCAGCTCTACTATATAAGGTCAAAAATAGGTTATGTTTGTCATGCCAAAAAAAAAAGTTACAAATCAAAGCCTAAAACACTATGCCCAAATAATTGCGGTGTGGTTAGGATTTTTGTTTTGCAAACCGAATTAAAAACGATGTGGTTTGGTTTGGACCGAATAATAATATGTTGTCCCAAACCGAATTAATATGGTTTGGTTCGGTTTGGGTTATAAACCACACCGCAAACCGAACTTTCACCCCTAGGTGGAACTAGGAATGAAGTTGGTGTGATTCTTGATGAAAGGTTGTCAAAAGAGGTAATCGAAACCTATCGGAAGAATGATGGTTCGATAAGGGTGATGTTATATGGTAAGGAGATTGTTAATGTTATTAGTGCTTATGCTCTCCAAGTTAGTTTAGGAGGAGAAACGACAATTTTAAGAAGACTATCATTTTGGTGGATGAAACTAAAGATGGGGTTAATGCCAAATTAAAGCAATGGAGGCAAAGGTTGGTATCTATAGGGTTTAAGCTATGTTGGAGTAAGACTGAATATTAGGTATACTGCTTTGGTACACAGAGGGGGACAAGCAATGACGTAGTGAATTTGGACAGAAAGCATTTAACCATGAGTGAGTGTTTTAAATATTTTGGGTTGATCATCTAGAAGAATAGTGACATTGATCGAGACGTAGCCCACAAGATTAATTCGAGGTGGCTTAAATGGTATGGGTTTCCAAGAAGGAGCACATTTTTGTTTGGATTGAGAGTGTTGGAGGGGAGAAAAGAAGGGATCCATCCTCTCTTGTTTGGATACCATATGGTAGAAGGGAAGGGAAAAAAAATGGAAGGATTAATTTCCCCCCCCCCCTCCTTTAATAAACCAAATCCTTTCAATGTTGGAAAGATTTGAAGGGAAAATGTAACCTTGTCTTCTCCCCTTCCTTTCCTCTCCCTCCTTATTCTTCTCTCCTTTCCCTTTCCCTTACGCTTTGCTATCCAAACAAACTGTATAAAGATAAAGGTTACGGAATTGTGCATGTTAAAATGGATGTGTTGGAACACTCTAAGAGATAGAATAAGAAATTAAGTTATTCGCAAGAAAGCGAGTGTTGCAGGTATTGCAAACCAATCGCTTGCGTTGGTTCAGGCATGTAAGAAGAAGATCCCATGGTGCATCAATACGAAGAGTGGAAGAGTGAGATCATGGAGAGGTTAAACAAAGTAGAAGAAGACTAAAAATGACTTGGTTGGAAGGAATTAGGAAGGATATGAAGCTTGAGAATGAGGTATTTGATCATAAGAGATGGAGGAGTAAGATTTTTGTGGATAATTATATGGAATAATCATTTTTGGTTCAAGTAGTCGACCCCACTTATAAGATTAAGGCTTTGATTGATTGATTACCAATTTTGCTAACCCAAGCAAACACTATATACCGGTTTCAAAGGACTTTGAGCTTGAGAGTATGAAACGCATTATCCGAAAAGGATAGTTATAGTGGAGTTGTGAGAAGTTGCATATAATGGTTACAAAGGACTCGATAGTGGGAATATAAAATGAATTCTCCGAAAAGTGGAGACTAGTAGCGGAGTTGTGGGAAGTATTAGGTATTAAATGAGAAACTAAATTGACTCCTAAGCCTCTAAAATGACAGTAATTTTAACTCCGTTAGTGTTAAAACTATTAGCGTAATTATCTTCCATAGTTTGAATTTTAGGTATAATTATGGATATTCAGGAATACCAAGTTTGGATCTTTCCTTTGTAGCATCGATATTCTAACGCAAAATTTTTCATATAATCCTATGCTTGAATTGAAATTCTAAAGTCTCCAAAACAGCTCTCCTGAGTTTGGAACTTGAATGGCCAATATTTTCGACCAAACAAATTGGAATTAAATCATAGAATTTAATTTCTAGAATTGAATTCCCTATATTCAAATGAAATTGGCCTATCCAAGACTCCAAATGCAGCCTCGGTTCACTTCTAGAAAAAACATTATTTTGCAAAATTCAATGCAATTCAGACTCTTCACTACACACCAAACAAACAGAATTTCAGGAGGAAAAGAAAAAAAAAAAAAAAACAAACAAACAAACAAACAAAACTAATTCGAGTCCTTAAACAGTCACACATGCAAAAGTTGGAACCTTTCAGGAATGCTACCAATCTTCATAACAATGAGAATTTAATAAAAAAAAAATAATAATAAAAAAAAAAATTTGATGAATTCACCTGTAAAAGTGCAGCAATAGTTCCAAAAGAATTCCACAGCAAAGGAGCCAAATCCTGAAACAATTCTCTTTTCTGATACACAAAACAGCAATCATCAACAACAAATTCAATCGAAATTCACAGCAATAATCAATTCAAAACCCTAAATCAAAAACAAAAATCAAAACTTGAGAGAGAAAGGAGAAATACCTTGGAAAGTTCGAGAAGCGCGTTTTCACGGCGGTCAGGATTGCTGAGGTCGAGGACGAGAAGTTCCGCCGATTGCATTTTACGGTCGTTTGGGTTGGATTGTGAATTCGCCGGCGAAGTAGCACCGAGAGTTGGGCCGTAAGCTGCTGCGTTCAAAGAGAGAGATTGTGGCAGATTTGCCATTTTTCGGTTGATTTTCTTACTCTTTGTAACACGAAACAAAAATTATTAAAATAAAGTTGTTCTGTGTAATAAAATTTCTGTTTTTATATTGTGGCAGTAATAACTCCTCTAGTTTGACTATCGTAGATTAGGAGATCATTGTCACGAAATACTTATTTAAAGTAAATACGAAATATAAAGACTGGAATTTTGGATAGCTATAATTGAAGACGATGAGATATCGAGTTATTATGTAGTACAAAAATTGGAGCAGGAAAAAATTGAAAACTAAGAAACAAGATTGTTGTATTAATATAAATGATAGGCATGAAGAGATTTAAATGACCTCTAATGTACTTTAAATTTTTTTGCTTTGATTTATTTTGCAGGTTAAAATGATATTTGATGTACTTCATGGATTAACTAGCACTCCGTATAAATTATTATTTTATGCGGGCTTAATTGTTTTTGTGGGTTTATGGATTGTTAGGAATTATGTTAAGGTTTTATTTCTATTAGGATTTTATTTTAGTTTAATATATAGATTAATACAAAGAGAATATTGTACAGCTAGATTCATATTAATAATAATCCCTTTGTCAAAATAAATGTCAGGCACATAATATTAGGAAAATTGTTTTAATTGAATAAAAAAATGCAAGTGATGTATTTTTATTTTTATACTCCCAGCTACCATCAGCAGGGGCATCATCATCTCCACGAATTATTTTTATAGCTGATTTAATTGTAAATCTGCCTTTTAAGCTTCCCCCCCCCCCAATACAAAAGGTCACCTATCGAGGGGTCATCTCGTACTTGATGAGCTAGAATCTCCTTGATGCAGTTCTCAGGAAGTAAATCCGCAAAGATATCCCATTTCCATCCATTGATAGAGTCCCACATCTCTTCAACCGTTGCCCCATCTATCTCTTGAGGGATTGTATTTATCACAAGATCACGAAGAGGCCTCGAGGTTGCCCAAGGGTGATCCCAAAAAAGAGTACGAACACCATTTCCAACAGCTACCCGAGCTCCCTTATTTATGATTTTTGCATTTTCAGTGATTCCACGCCAAACATTTGACATGTTAGCCTTGGATTCAAACATATCGAGGTCACACCTCCCCTTACAATACTTAGCACGAACAACACTAGACCATAAAGAGTGTGGTTCGGTGAGAAGACGCCATCCCAATTTTGTGAGGAATGCTGAATTTGCATCCCTCGCAGACCTCATTCCTAGTCCACCTTTCTCTTTGGAGAGTTGCAAAGTCTCCCACGAAATCAGGTGAATTTTTCTTTTTTCCTCGTTACCACCCTAAATAAAACGACGCATCTTTTTATCAAGTTCATCACATATGGTTCTCGGGATTTTTGCCGATTGCATAGCATACGAGCTAATGGGCGAGATTGATGATTTGGCCAAGGTAATACGACCAGCTAAAGACAAGTACTTCGACTTCCAACCCGACAAACGCCTATCCACCTTCTCACACAGATAGGCAAAAAGTGTCCCTGGTTATTCTGCTTGTAATGGTGGGCATGCCTAGATACATGCCCAAGTCTTCTGTCAATTCCATTTGCAAGGCATTTGAGACAGCTGACTTAAAGGCATCATCCATATTTTGAGAAAAGAAGACACGAGACTTGGAATTACTGACCTTCTGCCCAGATGTTGCACAGAAACTAGTCAAGCATTTTTGAATAATTTTAGCTTGATCGATGCTTGCCTCCGCGAATAATATAATATCATCTGCGAAGCACAGATTAGACAATTTAGGACCATTTCTGCTTGCTCGGATCGTCCGCCATTCATTTTTTATGATTGAGTCTTCGATGACATGGTTAAGTCTCTCCATACAAAGAACAAAAATGTATGGAGACAAGGGATCCCCTTGGCGAACACCTCTTCCCGGATTGAAAGATTGCGTGGGTTCCCCGTTCCATAAGACTTTCATTGACGAGGTAGTGATGCATTCCATTATTACTTCAATTATCACCGGAGGGAATTTGATTTCGAGTAGGGTATCATGAATAAACTCCCAACGCAGCCTGTCATACGCCTTCTCGAAATCTATTTTTATTGCCATTAAACCAGTAGCACCTTGTTTATTCTTCATTGTGTGCAAATTCTCTTGGACAATCACTATATTGTCCGTAATTTGTCTTCCGGGGACAAAGCTTGTTTGGGTACAGGAAGTAAGGTGAGGCATCATTGGTTTAATTCGGTTGACAATAGCCTTTGTAATGATTTTGTAAATAACATTGCATAGACTAATCGGCCGGAATTGAGAAGGAAGCTCTGGGGCATCCACCTTAGGAATAAGGACAATAAAGGTGTCGTTAATATTATCAGGAAGGCCTTTGCCTGCTAAGACTTTGAGTGCGACTTCATAAACATTATTTGCAACAAGATCCCAATGCTTACGAAAGAAAAGTACTTGAAAACCATCGGGTCCGGGGGCCTTGAGTGCCCCCATCTCTTCAATGACTTTGTCTATTTCACACCGAGTAAAAGGACGAGATAGAGCATTCCAGTCCCTAGTAGTAAACTCTGGGAAAATATCAGTTGGAAGAATACCATGTTCAAGTTCACCCTCGGCCTTAAACAAATGTTGGAAATAATTCACAATTGTATTTTGAATTTTATCCTTATCATGAATCCAGTCATCATCAGGTTTTTCCTTGATTGCATTGATCTTATTTCTCCATCTCCGAGTGATAGTACTTAGGTGGAAAAAGGTAGTATTTTTATCCCCTTCTCGCAGCCAGTCGACCCTTGATTTTTGGTACCATAACAGTTCCTCCTGCTCAAGAACCTCATCTAATTCTTTTCTCAGCTTTGCTTCCAGTTTGATCATATCTCTTGATTTCTGTTCAGAGAGGGATTTCTGTACCCCTGCTATTCGAGCAAGGAGGATGCGTTTCTTTCTGAATATGTTGTGGAAGACTGACTGATTCCAGTCTTGGAGCTCTGCTGCTATTTTTTGTAAATGGGGGATCAAAGGCGCATCCTTATCCCACTTCTCTTCGATAAATTCTCGAAATTTTTCGTGTGTCATCGAAGCAGCCTGGAATCTAAATGGTTTGTTTATATTCGAGATAGGAGAAAAACCATTAGGGGATATCAAAACCGGGCAGTGATCAGACCTTACAGCAGGAAGGTTCTTTGAGGCAGCATTTGCAAATTTAAGGCTCCATTCACCATTACACAAAGCCCTATCAAGCCTTGCATTTGTTCTAGTTGAAATAGAATTCCCCCTAGCCCACGTATGGGAAGGGTCGTTGAACTCCACTTCTAACAACTCCATATCTTGAACCCATTCATTGAAAAGAGCCATTCTACGTGTAGTCTCATGGCAGCTCGAGCTTCTCTCCCAAGCAAAACGGGTCTCATTAAAATCCCCTACTAATAGCCAGGGTTTACTATGTTGATTAGCAAAATTTTGTAATTCTTGCCATAATTCATTACGTTTGGTCGGGTCCGGACTAGCATAAACCGCAGTGAAGTACCATGGGGTCTCACCACTCTTTTAATATCCATTGTAATATATTGTCTATGTTTAACTATAGGCTCAACTGATACTAGTTCTGATTTCCAGTATACCCATATTCCACCACTAAAACCATGAGCATCCACTCTCGTATGCCCTGTATAACCAAGAATTGAGGCTATTTTTTCCGCTTGTTGTCCCCCCATATGAGTTTCAACCAAAGCGAAAACATTAGGCTTATTAACCTTTATTACTTCTTTCAAAGCATAGATAAATTCTTTACTACCTGCCCCTTGTACGTTCCATACCATACAAGTTATGGGAGAGCTATTAGGAGCTAGATTAGGAATGCTATCTTCTATAGACATAGGAATATTATTTAGGGAACTTACATAAGCACCTCGAATAAGGTTTAGAACCCTGTTAACTTCAACTGGCACCTTCAAGGTCCATACTTGTTCCATCGGTTCCGGGCTTGGTTCCTCCCAAGACTCGATGTTCACCTCCATCACATGTATCAGGGGGTTTGCTATGCCCAAATAGGGCATCTCCATTGGTTGTCCAACACATAGTGTCTTCTCCGGGGGAATTGATAATTTGATCACATTCGGCATTGGGGGAAGCATTAGTGGTGGACTTTGGTGCTGCATCATTAACAACTTCTTGTGGTTCTTCTTGGGTTGCTTCTTCAGGGATTTGTTTTTTGTAGGACGCGATACTAGGCTGTTGGTTTTCTTTGCCGAGGCTAATAAGCTTATGGGTTACTTGTTTATTCACCTTCAAGTTGGTAATAGGAGTCAAAGGGGAATAAGGAAGTTCTTTTGACTTGCTAGCATTCTGGGAATCTTTTTTGTTTTTATTTTTGTTAACCGAAGGATTTTTTTGTTGATTAAAAATATCTTTTCCATAAGTTAAAGATAAATTATTTTGTATATTCTCTAGTGGATTTTGAGAATTATCCCCTAGATTGGTAGTTGCCATATACTTATCTTGCTGAGTTGGAGATCTTTTTTCAGAGAATTCATCATCCGGATTCTTAATCTCATTATTGTTAACAACTTCCTTATTATTTGCTCTTTCTATATCTTCTTGAGAGACCTCCACATTGAGCGCTGTAAACCGAGATCCTCCACTAATCTTGCCATTATTCTCGGTTGCAGTATCTTTGCGTTGACCTTGCTCCATTGAAATTCCATTGATACCCTTGCTAGTGTTTTGCCCTGCTTTATCCGGTTTGGAAATTTTTCTCCGGCCAGGCTTCTTGACTAACATCCAATCACCATACTCATCTTTTTCCTCCGGTCTAATCACTGGAGGGGGGGCAGGCACTTCACAGGCAGTATTGTCAAGCTGCTTGTTCCCCTCATCCACCACCATGTTGTCAATCGAAGTGGTAGGTGCACATTGATCTGCATCATGACCCATTCTTACACACTTGTAGCAAACCATCTTTATTCCTTCGTATTGAATTCTCCATATCTTTCCTTTTAGCCAGAACTTTGCTAGTAAAGGTTTGGCAAGGTCGATTTCTACACTCAGCCGAGTGAAGTGACCTCTCTCAGCAGAAGCTGTGGATTTATCCACTCGGACTACCTTCCCAATCTTAGAACCAATTTTTTTCAAAAATTCCTTGTCAAAATACTCAACACTCAGATTCGGTATTCTAACCCAAACAGTCAAAACACTGATAGATGCCTCCTTAGGGATGAAATTTGGCGTCCATTTCCTAATTGTGAGATATTTGTCATCAATTAGCCAAGGACCTTGGGTCAAGACATAATTGTAATCATCTGCATTGGAAAACCTTGCAATGAAATATTTAGAACCAATGTCAGTGAGGTTCATATCTCCTTTTAATTGCCATTTTCTCTTGAGTTTTTTCATCAAACCCATGTATCCAAGGCTTCCATCGAACATTCTTATTATAAGAGTGTTCCGCCAAGGCCTTCGCATTGCTTTCTTCTCCTCTTTTGTTAGCAGAATTACAGGGCATCGCTCAGAGTCCACTATACCTTCTGGTGCTTCATCATCATCCGAGACTTCTTCCTCATCATCCAACTCAATACAAACCTCATTAGCACAAACCTCATTAGCACTCTGGTTGGCTATTTGAGTGTCTCTTAACAAGTCCCGAAAGGACCTCGGAGTTGCAGCAGCGCCTTTAGGATTAGCTTGAAAATTCTGAAAGTTCTGACCCCCAGACACAGGGGAGTCATCAGATCCATTTCCTCCATTGACACATTCCATGGAGTTATCCCTATTAGCAGAGCCCTGACCAAAAATGTATTGTGTGATTTTTCTTTTTGGTTTTTATTAGATCTGATCAATTGATCAACCATTTGAGGGGGGTTTGGAGGAGCTTGGTTCGCAGACATTGGAGATATATCAAGTGATGTATTTTTATTAGTTAAAAATCTTTAATATATATCTATAGATTATACTAAAACAATTTTAGGAATTCTTTTTTTTTTTTTTTGAATAAATGTAGGCAAATTGTTAAGAATCTCTATTATCTATATCCATAGGATAATACAACATATTTTATTCCTCCAAATCATAAATATATTTTATGTAATGTAATCTTGTAACAATTTTAAAAAATGATGAATCTACTAAATAACAGTAAGTCTTGTGTAGCTAGTCCAGTGGTCCAATTTGTTTAAATAAGATAATTACTATTCATGAATATGAGTAACCTCAATTATTTATACTTCGTATGATGGCATGAGTAACCTTATCTGCCCATAAGACTATATGAGTGTTTTTTTTTTATATATATAAGGAGAAAGGTCATATCGGGCAGAAACCTCTCACAGATCCTCTCGACCCGAGTTAGCGGATTAGGCACTTTGGGAGTGGAGGGGGAGGATCATCTGCCAAAGGGTCCAATTTCTTCAACAAGGATCAAGAGAGACCTCTCACGTGCAAAGGAGAGGCAGTGACAACGGAGAGGCTATGCCAGTAGAGAGGAAAGGCTCCGCCATTGCTACTAGAAGAAAATCTCAAGTTTCAAGCCTTCTTTTGCTAAGTGTTGGTTTAAATTACATTCTTTGGTCATCAAACCTGCAATATAGTTAAGCCAACAAAAGGGGACTACAAGAGCGCCAAAAAGAGACCAAAATTCTACTCGTACAAGGTTAAGGAAATACTACAAACTAAAAATGAACTAGAAAAGGGGTAGAAAGAGTAACATAGAGAGAAAAAAATACAAAGAGAACTAAAAACATCAAGTGGAAAATCCACTTATTAGAGTTACCCCAATTTATTATACAAGTAAATCAATTAATGAAAACCTAAGTAACTATTTGTCCACTCGAGTAATTAATCAATTAATTAAAAACTAAGTAACTCTATTCGTCCATTTGAGTTACCCCTATTATTTTAAATTGACTATTAACAGAGTAATTCCACTAGTTTATAAAAGTTATCACATTTATCCATTGCGGTAACCCTTCAGCTCATTTGTCACGGTAACCCCATTAGATCATCGTTGTAAACCTTATTTTGTTGTTTTAACATAACTCTTATAATTTTGGGTAAAAAAAAAAAAAAACCCTTAACTTGCTATTAACAATACTTGACTACCATTTACGAAGTGTATATGTAATATTACAAATTTACATTGTAAGTTTATAAAGCATGGCACCCACAACGACCATATTAGTCGTACTTTTGATGACAGTTTTGAGTAGATACCCTCCAGGCTTTCAGCGTACAAATTGTCCTACCTATGCTAAAGCGGGCTAAGTAATAAACATCCAATTTGTCTCCATAACCCTTCGTTTGGCATGACATCGTTTTCTGTAGCCAGAATATCAGATGTATACAACACCATACGCAATGCTCCAACTGAGGACTTGAGGTCACTGGAACTGCATCACAGATAAACCTCCCGCAGGCAGGACTGAGAGCAGTAATCACGCTTCATATGTACAAGATTGCCCACTTTGAGATGCGTTGCCATAATTTTTTGATAGTGTGTACATCATTCTTTGCCAAAAGCAAGTTGATTCTTGAACTATTGTCATTCAGGTTTAGTCTATCACTTGCTACCAGTATCAGTTAGCATAGTCGTAACTCACAACAGTACAAGGTCCAGGCTAGATAAGTCTGCAAAGCTGCATTCCTCTATCCGTTAAAAAATCATGTCCTCAATATTCTTGACAATTTGTAGACCTGCAATTCATTGCAAACCCATATTGCAATTTAATATCCATGGGAATGAAATCAAGAAGTATCAACATCTAGATGATCATGCACTCTTATACAGAAGGATGTAAATCTTCTGTACAATATATCATGGAGAAGTAAAAGTAAGCTAATTGCCCAAAATTCCCCTTCGTGACTACAATAACAATGAATTATGTCCTTCAGTTTCATAAATAACTACCCCATATTAAAAATCAAGCACTCTTTATAATTTATAAGAAGAAATCCACCGCCAATTATTTTATTTTTTTTATCTAGAAAAAAAAAAAAGGTTACATACCTGAGCAGTTCTACTAGGCAATGGCACTTGTAGACAGTCCTGGAGACCATCAATTCTGCATAAGCAGGACAGATTCAGTTCAAGGAGGATTAATTACGGCAGTAAACCATAATATGTAGGGAAAGTACAGAGTTTAAGAAAAACACTTTTTAAAAGAAAAAACATGCTAACCTCTTCCTGATGCTTCTCTGCAGATATTGCTCACGGTTGACAATATCTCTTCCACCATATTTCTTCTCATCAGTATTTAGCACAATCTGTAACATCAACTTAAGGCATAAGGTCCTTATAAAGTTAGAAGTGAATACGCGCTTATGATCTTTCATATCGCTTTTCATCAACACAAAAACTCTTAAGAGACAATTTCACACGTGAACGGTGAAAAATATGAAATGATATTAATGAAGAAATTCAAAGATGCTGTGGATGTCTCTATCAAAGACTTTAGTGTCTAATGGTGATCGATAGCCAGTTGAGATGACTTTTATACATTTTTTTAGCAATAAACTCTCATATTAAGAATACTGTGACGTGAGACAATCCTACCCAGGATTTTCAGTACAAGGATTGCAACTCCATTGTCTTCATAAATAAAACTCAATTGGCCCAAACCCAACATAGAGTCAAAGACTAGCAAATAACAATTTAGCACAACTTGAAATAGGCTGAGCAGAAAAGATTAACATTGCATACGTAGTATGTAACCTAAAGCTTCTTTTGGAATGGCAAAAAATGGATATATAGCCATATACTTCCTCCTTTTATTGCACCATTTGGACTTTAACACTATTCACACAATCTCTGTTGACCATCTTTTGTGATTTATCTATAAGGAAAAGCATAGTCGTGTTGGGATCTAGTTAATTTCGCCTTGATATCTACTATATCAACTTTTTATAATTTTTACTTTAGTATAATTAAAGATATTAATAGTTAAAGTATTGCATTGGCAAGCGTGAAATGACAAATGGTGCAATTAAAAAAAACGAAGTAGATAATTGCACCCTTCATTCACCTCAAGTACCAATAACAGACTAACATTGACACATGGGTATGCGTACTTGACACTTCATATTGGAGTAATTGGTAATTTTTTGTTAAAGGATTGAGCCTAAAATCTCTGCACATCTCATGTCCAACACGAGTAGCTTTGTTTTAGTAACATAGACGGCAATTAATGATTAATCTATTGTGTACATAGTGATCAGTAATATAATTCTCCAGGTTTGTTTGATGCCATATTTGCCAGTTCAGTAATTATTCAAGATCCATGTTATTCTCAGAAAGATTAGAGTTAAACCAAAGTCTGATGATGATAAGGCAGTTAACATTTTAAAATTTCTAAGGTGCTGCATCCTTGCAATTTTAAAGCTAAAATCAAGATCAAAACGAGCTTAACTGAAATAAGTCAAATACATCATCCCATTTTTATGTTAACTTGCTGTTTTAAATTTTTGTCTCCTCTTTACATACTTTTTTCCTTATTACTCAAATTATCTGTCTCTTGAATATCTGCTATTTCCTAAAATTAACTCATGGAATGCAGGGGAGTACTGATTAATGCTGTTGACAGAAAACATCAATACAGTACAACATGGCCAACATATTATCTTAGACAACAAATAATGCTAGAATGAATAAGTTATAGGAAAAGGCAGTCTAGACATTCATTACAAGTATATTACATAGACAGGACAACAAACACAGAACAGCTTATAAGGTAAAGTATCTTTAGTAGCAACAGCAGAAATGACTTTCTAAACATATGAGAAACCAGGAGATCATAAAGGGATCCAGACTTACTTGATATTCCCCTGCCTCTTCAACTCCAACATAATATCTCTCGTATGAATTAGTCGGATGAAAGTTAAATATGAACAAAAGAGGTCCTCTCATGTAAGAAATTACCTGTAAAGCAAGAGGAAACTCGTATAGATTAATTGTGTTGTTCACACTGATGGAGTGCAAGAGACCTCCAACTTCATGAAAAACTTCCAGTTTCCTTATTTTCCTATTGGCAGGCCAGTACTAAAGTAACTTCTTACAAAATAAAAGCCAGTAAAAAGCAATAGAAATACTATGTGCCCATGTAAGAAGTTTCTCTATCATATGAACTTCAGTAGCCATGAACAATTATCTAGATACAAAAACTTGAAAAGAGTGTCAAACTCCCATGGAAGAAAATGCAAGCGCAGTAGCTCTCCAACAGGAATTCCCAACAAAATGCAATATTTCTACAGAAAAGACATTCATATGTTTCCAAACCCACAAAATGCCTGAGGTTTTGATTTGCAAAGGGTCAATGAACTCTATCAAGTTCAAATACTCCTTTAATGGAAAAAAAATACATAGTTTTAGTTCAGGAATATGGATTTCTAGATAAAACAAGAACAGGCATACTGCAACAAAAATGAAACAAGAATCATTTTCTGCATATGATAGTTGGAACTTGGAATTTTATTACCATACATACCATTGAATCATCATTCACATGGTGAACGTTTGGTAAGCCTCTTGAAAGGACCCTTTCTCTTTGATCCATCTTCATCATGTCCTACAAAAGAAAGGCATGTTGGACTCAGTATCTCATGTTAACCTCTCCATGTTAAAAATATCAACTTTCCACAACGTTTCCTCCCAATTTTAAGAGGGGTGGTGGAAAGGAAAAGAGGAACAAAGTAAGAAGCTATTGTTACTATGAGAACAAATGCACATATAGCAGCAAAACTGTAGGGATAGAATAAGACCTGGTCAAAGG